AGATTTATTGAATTTAAACTTAAATCAAGCATCATCATCATAGCGACAATCAGTGATGTGCACTAAACAAACGACTTTATGGGCATATAATATATCAAATAGAATGGCTACGAACAGCTGATCTTTACAAGTTTGATAGAACGATTTGATTTTTTTTCTTGTTAGAAAAATTTTATCAAAAAAAAACAGTTATCAAGAAATTGAGTGATTTAAAAATAAATAAATAAAGCAATTTAAATGCTAAACGGCTTTAAGCTGTTAGCCATGTGATCAATAGAATGCCTTGAATTTTTACTTTTTTTAAACAGAACGTATGAACGAGTGTAAAGAAGCAATGTATAATATGTATCTAGACAGCTATACACATCTCCTATGTCCTTATTCAAAATAAGCAACTGAACATAGCATCATCAATCTCTGTGTAATTACACTTTAAGTTTTAATTAAAATCAGTAAATGTAAATATTGAAAGATGAACTATAAATGTCCGTTCCAATCAGTTTACTGTATATCACAACATTAGATATACAAATTAATTGTTGCACAATACAATATCCTATTCTAATTGATTAAGAACCTATGGAAATGAAACAGACACAAATTGTAGTGTAAACAATGAATGAATGTTTCGAAAAGTAAAAAGAAAAACACTGTTTAGCTATGGACAGATAGAAATTAAATACAAGAATACTTATAATGCATTCTACAAAGTAACTTTTCTTATGGAATCTTGAATATTAGTTAATTTACTTCAGTTGATGTTTCTTGATGACTTTACTTAATTTTATGCTTGTATAAAGTCTAACATATATATGATTTGATCTTTCAGTTTTACTTTTTAACAACAAGCTTATAATGGAACGTAATTCATGATGTATTTTCCAATTTATCCATCATTAATTAGGCTTAAACATGATAGACACTGATTAATTTAACTTACACCTTTCTTGCAATCTTTCGTGGCGAAAGTTTGATCTACACTAAGTGATTAATTTTTTTTAAATAATCCTTTATTCATTCTTTAAGTATTATGAAATTTTCAATAATTTCTTATTTTTGAAATTTATTAAGATAATACTCTGTCAAAGATTGTAGTGCACTATATCTTTTAAGTAAAATTAAACATGATAATTAGTGAAGTTAGTTGAGTGTCATTATACTTCAAGTACTTTTAATCTTATAAAATAAACTAGAGTGAAAAGAAAATATTAAAAACTAAAACTTATCTTTTCGCTGAATTTCATAACCTGTTTTATAGAAAATGAGTTTATTATCTATCATTATTCATTTAACACTTTTTGTAAAAGAAAATAGTTGAAAAAATGTTTAGTGTTATGTATGCCTAATCATCGATTGCCTCGACGAGTAATGTTGTCTGGTGTGGGCGTAAGCTGACACGAAGCTAGGGGGCCGGTCAAGCCAAAGCATGGTACAAATCCATGAAGTCACTGACAACTGAACTGAGCCATTTTAATACGTGTAGACTACCTGGTTTAATTCAGCGAAACAATCGTATCCGGTTGTTAGAGACTTCAAATCACATGACTCAAAATCATTGCCAATGGCGCAGATGCATCCATTCTTTGTCGTCCATCAAATTCTAATCTTTTACGATTTGATTATAAACAAAAGTTTTGGGGAAAAAACTAGTATAAGAGATAAGTTAACTACTTTAAACGATTTTTGCGAAATTTAAAAATAAATGAATTTTCTGAATGTTTTTCATGACATGAAATACTTGACAGAAACTCTATTGTATAGTATGCAGAACATTTTAAAATTGTTGTTTTGCTTATTACACAATAAGAATGATAATAATAAATGTATTAAAAATGTATTTACTTTTTTATACATGAATTAAATATATACAGTATACCAACTAGTTAATGTTCATTTGAATTCATTTTGTTTACAAAAAAATGAAATTATTTTATTCATAGTTCATTGAATAAAATTGAGCTGTTACGGTATAAATCTTATAGTAGATAACAATTTCAAAACGCAAATTCTTTATTATCTATAAGGTGAAACATTGATGATGATGATTTTCCTATAATCTCATTACCATAACTCTTCAACAAATTAAATCCATAGACAATAATATGTTTTTTTCTCTACTAAATTATTTATGACTGTTAAAAAGAAAATCCAGAAAATAAAAACTGTTCAAGTGAATAAATTCACACTAAGATTAACAATATTGCGTGAAAATATTTTTACAGGATTAAAAAATTGAAAAATAGATGATGAGCTTTGAAAAATCACTTCACTTTTCTTCAATCACAGTTATGGAGATCAGTGTTTTTACAGGTTGAAATCATTGATCAATTAATGTTAGACCATGATTGGAAACCTGGATGTTGAAGTCTTCACATAATCCAGTCAACCACCAGAAGAAAGAGAAGGGGCGAGAGAGTAAGCAACCTTGTATGACACTGGTCTTCACTTGAAATGAGTCTGTGATCTGTCCTCCATGCATGATCTTGCAGCTTAGCTCATCATAAGAATTCCGTGTGATATTGACTATCTTCTCGGACATGTCAAAATTGCATCCATTGTATCACCCTGTCCAAGTTGTCCAATACTTTATCGTAATCAATGTAGTTGATGTAGAGTGGTGAATTCCATTTAATTTATTGCTCTACTATTATCCGTAGTGTTTCGATTTGGTCTGTTCACGATCGATGCTTACGGAATTCCGACTGTTGATCTCAAAGTTGATTTTTCACTGAATCTTTCATTTTGTTCAACAACACTCTGTTGAAAATGTTTCCTGGTATTGATAGTGAAGTGGTGCCTCTGTAGCTCTCACAGTTGCTTAGATCTCCTTTCTTTGGTATCTTGATGAAGTATTATTCTTTCTAGTCTGTTGAAACTTCTTCTTTCTCTAATATCTTGCTAACGAAAGCGTGCAACATATTTGCAGTTACTAATATGTCTGCTTTCACTGCTGCTTCTGCTGGTTTGCCGCTTTTGATTTGTTTGATGGTCATGCTGATCACTTCAGTTGTTGGTGAGTCAAATTCAGTTAGGAGGTCCGTGTGTGATGCTTTGATGTTGGGTTAGTTCGGTGGGGGCTGGTCTATTTAAGAGTTATTTAAGGTGCTCAACCTACCTGTTTCACTGTCCTTGGATACCGGTGATTGCTTTGCCTTCCTTGTTCTCCGCTGGACGTCCTGGTCTACTATGTTTTCCAGCGAGCTTCTTCGTTGTATCATATAGTTGTCTTATATTTCTTTCTGTTGCATCTTCTGCTGTCGTGTCTAGGTCTTCCACATATTTACGTTTGCAACACTGATGCTCCTCTTCACTTCCTCGTTTGCTTCTGTGTAATCAGCTTGTGTCTTGACTTTCTCCACTCCTGTTCGGCTGCTATTGATTCCTCTCTTACTGTTAATCCTTTCTTAAATCTCATCCAGAGTATCCATAGAGATTCATTTCCTATGGTGGTGCTTCTTGTGGCCTAGAACCTCATGATATGCTGAAGTCAGTGCTTTTTCAGTCTCTTTCCACTTGTTCTCCATGGTAGTTTCCTTTTCACTGAGTAGATCTTGAAAGGATTGGAGCTTATTGATGAAGGCCATCTGCAATCCGTTGAGTTTTCCAGTATCCCGAAGAAAAACCGTATTAAACATTTTTAATGCTGTATGCCAAGTTGTTGTTTACACGATACAAATCAAATATTTGCTAATTTTTTTGGTTAAAACATAGACACCTTTGTAGAGTATAAAGTTATGTGTATAAAACATTCTAAAATTCATAAATAATAACATCTACATTAAATTGAAAATGTGGAAAAAAAATGAATCATCCTAATGATAGTTATAATTTTTAATCAATCAGTATTTCATTCACATAGTTTTATAACGACCAACATGTAACAGTAGTAGTAGTCAGCTGAAATTGTTACAGTATAATATCAATGATTTATACTTTCTAGGAATATTCATTCATTTTTGAACGAATAGTTTGACTAAAATAATGTGCCGAGTATGTAGAGGACAAAATTCGTGAAAATTACATTATATACATCATCTCTTACTTACGCATGTTACCCCCAATGGAGCATAGGCCGCCGACCAGTATTCTGCAGCCTACACTCTTGGGCCTCCCTTTTCAGTTCCGACCAATTTTTGTTCATTCTTCTCATGTCTGTCTCCTTTTCTCAGCGTAATGTGTTTTGGGTCTTCTTTTTTCCTTGGACCTTGAGTGTTCCAAGTGAGTGCTTATCTTGTAACGCGATTGGGTTCTTTCTTTAATGCATGTCCTAACCACTTATAGCGTTTCTTCCTGATTCTTTCCTCTGCTGGAATCCGGTCTATTCTCTCCCTCAGTAGGTTATTGCTGATGGAGTCTGGCCAATGGATCCTCATTATCTTATGTAGACAGTTGTTAATAAATACCTGTATCTGGTGGATGATGGCTTTTGTAATTCTCTAAGATTCTGCCCCATGCAGTAGAATTGTCTTGACATTTTCATTGAAAATTGTGACTCTGGTGTCGGTTAATAGTTATTTTTAGTTCCAGATGTTATTCAATTTCAGAAATGAAGCCCTTGCTTTGCCAATCCGCGCCTCCCTATTTATGTTAGATCCACCTTCCTTGTCAATGATACTACCTAAATATCTATGGGTTGGGGTCACTAACGCCATGTTCAACCCTTCTACTTTATTGGGGCTAGAGACCGGCAGTAACTCCGTAGGTGCTCCAGGTGGAGCCTCAGCTATCTTGTACTTCTTCATAGTAGAAATGATCAGAATCGAAATTATAAAAGAATATACAATGCATAACAGTCAAATTAAGTCTATCTTAAATCTTTATCCAATCCTATTCAGAAGAAGTCCAGACATGGTAGTTGGATGAAACGTTGGAATTTCAAATTTCGAAATATAATTTTCACGACTAATAATTTATACTATTTTCTAATACATTTTACTTCAAACTATATTTGATCAGTTTATTTTGTTTAAAATTTTTTCTCTCTTACTCATTTATTAAAGGTAACACCATTTATTGGAACATTTCATGATGCTGTTAAACTGTACGCTTTAGCTTTAAATGATGCTTTAGCTAAAGGTGGAAAAATCACAAATGGTACATTAATCACACAAGAAATGTGGAATAGAACATTTAAAGGTTAGTTTTCAAATAGTTATAAATGAAATAAATTTTTCATAAATCAAACATATTCACTCAGTGAAGTTCATCATTTACGAATAATTCTAAACTGTAAAATTATGTATAAAAAATTAATACGAATAGTTGCGTAACAGTAGTAATAAGAGTTGAAATCAGATGCAAATATATGTTTTGCTATCCATGAAATAAATAATGATATCATTGATAATCAAGTTTGTTTGTTATGTATAATCTAAATAAAAGTATTCCTAGGCGATTGTAATATTGTGCTTCTTTAAAAATACAATAGTAGTATTTTTTTAATGAGATCACGAACCGATTTAAATTAGATAACCAGTGAAAAACAATAATGCACTGGACAGCTGTTTCGTTCTAGTACAAAATTTGTTGGGGACGTTAGATCTCCAGAACTCGTTTGATAAAGGCTCTAATTTCGGATTTTGTTCATGGGCTGTTCAGTTGACCTTGAGATTACGTTTCCCACCCGGAAAATCTTTAACTTTTATTTGTTGATGTGTTATTTTAGTACGCTATTTTTGTGGCTCTCCCAAGGACGTTTCTATGATGTTTAAACTCGATTGGTGTGCTTGAGAATATCATACTTTCCACGCCATATCAAGACTTTTTCTTCAGTTAGACGGGGCAACGGATTAGAGTAGCCTATTGTGTCACTGGACCATTGTCTCGCTTTCGACTACCGACTTATGTGAACTTGTAATAGTTCATATCACGAGCATAAAAAATTCCTTACCAATAGGAAATAAAGTTCAGGACCGTTGGTTTTATGTGTTAAGTTTCAACTTATAGGTCAATATAATCTCCGCATCCAATAGTGCAGAGATCTTACTTCAATCAGTCTACAATGTTGCACTAGATTTACTGCTGTTATTATAATTATCATAATTATCAATATAACACCTTAAATATTTGTACATTTTTTTATTTGAAAAATCTCTATTACATGTCATCCATCTGAAAGAAATAACTATGACTGAACTCGTCTTCATAAAGATAGTTTTCTTTCAACATGATAGTATAAATTGTTAAAGTGTGACTAAAAAAAATCAATCAAATTGTCACTGATTCTGATTTATTTAAATACAAACTGATTGATAGGCCATATAGATGAAAATGTATACTTGTGTTTTAGACCACACAGTAACACAGAAATTCAATGAAATGGTCAGTTGTAATTAACTAATCAAATGAAAATCATGTGTTTACAATTTAAAATAGAAATTTTTCTATATTGTGACCTTATCATCTTGAGTGAGTAAAAATAAAAATCACTAACCTGAATCAGTATTAGTCATTGCAAAAGAAAAAGAAAATTGTAAATTATACTAATCTTATCAATGCTGTCTAAATTCATATCCATCGCAGGTGGTCTATAATTGAACTGTATAATTAAGTTTCAGTAGGTTGCCGACTTAATTATTCATCCAACTAACTAGATTGACAGTTTAGAGTTCAGTGAACATATCTATTGATGACCATTTACAATGATTTAACTATGAGATTTTTCATCAAATGATAAAGGATTTTAGTGTAGACGATGTTGTATTCTCTAAGTTTAATGGCTGAATTTCATCTGTTTCAATCTGATTCCGGACAAAGGAATCAGTGCTTTTTTGATGCGAAGGTATTTTTCAGAATGACAATAGGTTCTCTACAATCGAGTCATTTAATTGAGAGAATAGAACATTTTAATACTGTTAGCAAATATTAATGATATGATACAAGCTACAGTTTATATGTTATGTCAATTAAATTAACAATTATGACTAGTATTGAAGTTGTATTCATTTGAAAGTATTATTTATTTCATCTGATACATTACCTGATAAAAATCAATTTGTCATTAAATTTTATTTCCTCTTTTACTATGAAATAGGCGTTACTGGTGTTGTACGTATTGATGCCAATGGTGATCGTAACGCTGATTATTCTTTATTAGATATGAATCCTGTAACTGGTGATTTTGAAGTAAGTAAAAACTGTTGAATTTCATTTTTAAAAAAATCGAAATATGTTTATATTGATTTGAATTTATAATTAACAACATGCTTTTCATATAAATATCTATTAACCTGACAATGAAATTCATACGATGAAATTTGAAAACTAGTCAAATAGAGAAATAGAAAGAAAAACCTGTGAAAGGAATTACATAATGATTAAAATCAATATTCTACTTTTTTTTCATATAACAATATGATTTCAATGTCTATTATGTTCACCTTTTTCACACTCAACTATTTTATTATTGTGTTCAATGGTCAATTGTGGTCATTCAGTGACACATTTGATTGGAAAAGTATTTTATGCTTATATAATGTTGAGATGGTAAAATAATAATAATAATAGCATTCAACCGGAAAAAATACATCAAAAGTTATAAAAAGCTTTGTTTTTTTTACATAACATTATTTGCTATATTTAAGTTTAGCGGAGTTTCAGAGGATACAACAGTTAATTGAGTTTTGTTAGTGGAATCTCTTTCAATTCTGATTTATGCAACAAAAAGGAAGTCATTTGATATTGACATATCAAAATGTGGGTCAATGAAAACATCTTACTATATATATATTTCAGTCCTTATGAATAGTTTAATGGTTTTGGCAGTTCAATGAAGTTGATATGATTATTGAACATTGAAATAATATTCATAATGATTTGTCTTTATAATCTTACAAATGATCAATTGAATATTAGTCAGTTTTATTTGTATATTAATGTAGAATTTAATTTCTCATCAAATAATTGATTGTAGTCTGATCCAATACATAACTATTATCAATTGTTACTAACTGGTATTAACTACTATTTTTTTCTACAATATCAACTAAGCAAGATAATATGATTTGTTTACACTAAAGTCTTAGTTACTGATTTACATTCTGTTACTTTCTTCCATTCTTATTTTTACGTTTCTCTCTCTCGCTCTCTTTCTTTCTTTGTACAACTGTCACTGTTTGTTTCATTATGTAAAAAAAAACTAGTTCCAACATTGTTTTTCATATGCAATTTTCATAAATCTTGGTATTTATAACACAATAAGCAATAGAAAGCAAAATAAATATCTGAGAAAAAAAGTGAGAAACAAGTATCTAAACCTTTCTCTTTTGTTTTGTTTTTATCATGTTAAGTATTATTCTCTTTCAAGATGTACGCGATTAGTATAGATACACATGTATATGTATGCATGTGCATATCTCTATACACACAAGTACATGTTAGATAGATTTCAGTGAATTCTAGTGATGGTCACTAAGAGATTAATATCTTGTCAGTGTTTTTTACACACTTCACTCGTTTACATATATATATAAATACATATATCACTTATTTAATACTTATATATTTTCCATCACTCAATGTTAATAATCGTTATAAATAATAATAATATTGTTAGATTTGAAGTAATAATAATAATAATAATAATAATAATAATAATAATAAAAGGTAGACTATATTCTGTTGGTTATTCTCTATTCTCGTTTTTGTGACATTTTGAAATAAACCAGAATAAAGCAATGGCATACTATATATACAAACTGAATCCACCTCTCTCTATAAAACAATTGTTTAATCGTGATTGAACATAATATTGATATCGATATGAAGATATCATTCACATTTGATCTTTATATCTGTTTGTCTATACACATTCGTAAGTGGTTATTTACGTCTGCAATGTCTAGTACATTATTCTTACGATTAAGGGGATAAATCTATGTTGTTGCTTCAAACGACATCATTGTTCAATAAATTATAGCGGTAGAAATGTGGTTGATAACAGTAAAAACTTGATTAAGAATAAGATTCGAAATGTAACACCATGTAGAGTAGTGTTTATTTCAGTCGGAGATATTTTCATATGATGCTCCCACCACCAAGTGAGCAATCCTGAAAGGCTGTTAGCTTTTATAGACTAAGGTGTCTAAAATATGTATTATGTACATTTAGCCATCACATTTACCCGAAATCCAGTGGTAGCTTGCATAGGCGTAGGTCAGAAGTGAGCTAAGAGTATTCATACTGGGTAATTGATCATATAGTGTAGAATTCCTGATTTGATTCTTCAAGGCGATGGTAATCGATGTTTGGAAATTCTTAGTGACATGGTTCGAATTCGGCCTTGATGTCATAAATGTATCTACTTTTTACCATTTTAAAATCTATGATTATCAATGCCATTCCAGACTTTATACTTGTCGCTTTCATTGTTCCTTTTCAAACTTTATTCTCCTTGAGTCACCTAATTACCGAGCTTTCGCTCCACTCATCCAACGCTGAACTACTTTAATTTGGTTCCCCAGTCGGTCAATCCTCATCAACGTAAAACTAAGCAAAGATGCGGATTGAAACAAGTTGCTACAGCAGATCGGAACCACAAGATGAGTATAATGAGAGTTGAAATTACATAGAAATAATATAGTGGCAACGAAAATATGAGAAAAACTGAACATCGGGAATATAGTTTGAAAAGTCAGTGTAATGGTATACTTGAAGAAATACTGGAATATCAAATTCACAGAAACATAAAGGTGGCTAGAATAGCATAGACGAATAAAAAATTGATTGAAATAACTATGTGATGATCTAAAAAAAATGTTTTGATCATTGATTGTATCGAACTACTACTCATGTTAGTTTACCGGTGTGTGATGCAATATTGTATTCTTTTTCTTTCGATGATATATTCATTCTTTTCTATCCTTTATTTTTTTCTTAAAAAATAAAAATCAAAGGTTGTTGTAAATTATTTTGGTAATGATAAATCTTTATCAGTTGTGCCCGGTAGAACAATTGATTGGATTAATGCTGATAATCAACCTCCATTGCATACTCCACCTTGTGGCTTCGATGGTTCCGAATGTCATAATACTCGTAAGTTTCTTTTTCTCTTTTATCAGTCAATGAGTGAACCTCTATGTTAATGTGTGTATAAGAATAGTCAAATCATTTAGAAAGAGTATAACAGTAGTTCTCTTGTTTATCACATTCCACAAGCTGATAACAGAATTATCAAAGTACTCTTTTAATTGTTTATTTATTGAAAACGAAAGAATTGATACAAATGTTCAATTATGATTGTTTAATATCTTTTTTAAGAATTATTACCCATATATTTTAAACTGAAACAAATAAAAACAAAACTAATTTAGTTAGATTTTTTTTCAATAAAACAAAAATCTGATAAAATTCCACAATCTGTCCATTGATGTTTGGTTATTTATTGACTGAGATAATCGAACTGGTTATTATAGCATTCAGAAGATTGATTCTCTGATATCGAATTATATGACTATTAATCAACTAATGATTAACCAGCGATTTTGTGCTATTATCGTTTTTTACATTACTATTATTACTATTTAAACACATAATTATTGGTCAGTCAGTCAGTCAGTCAGTCAGTCAGTCAGTCAGTCAGTTGCAACGTAGAACTTCGTACGTATGTACATAAGTTCATGTTGCCATACCACATTATTAGCACAGAGATGCAAATGTAAAATCAAATCCCATAGTGATAACGACAGTAGAGGTATTAATGTTATAATAAAGAAGACTAGGGTTTAAGAGATTATTCAAAAAATATAATTCAGTGAGATAAGGTTAGGAAGACAAAGGTAGAGGTGCTGACGAATCCAGAAGATTAGGATTTGAGAGAGCTCAAAGAGTGGATGCACTTGCGCCATCGCAAACGATTTTGAGCCATGTCGTTCAAGGTCTCTAACCATTGATGACTTTCATCTCGCGGACCCCAACCAGGTAGTCTACATCTACCAACATAACTCAGTCCACTAGTCAGTGACTTAATGGATTTCTGCCATGTTTTGGTCTGGCCTCCCCTAGCTTTCTTCCAACCTACTCCTACACCACAAAACATAGCTCGTCGAGGCAGTCGGTGGTTAGGCATACGTAACACATGTCCCAACCACCTCAACTGATGAAGTTTCAATGTTTAATCTATTGATCTGCCATCCTTACCTAGTACTCGTTTCCTAACGATACCATTGCTTACTCGGTTGTCCCACGATATACGAGCAATGCTTCTTAAACATCTATGATCGAATACTAGTAACCTACGAACATCTACTCTTAATGGCCATGTTTCACAGCCATATAGAAGAACAGAGCGAAACGCTGCACAGTACACCCGCCCTTTGGTTAGCGAACGGATATCACGCCTACGCCATAAGTGACGCAGGTTGGCAAAAGCCGATCGAGCCTTCTGTATCCGCGCTGAGATTTCGTTATTGGTAAATTGGGGCACCTGAATATCGATGCACCGAACAAATCGTTAAATTGATATGTAGCCTGGAATACTACTCGGGTGCCAAAACTGAAGTAGGTGGTTTTCGAAGAGTGTCATCCCCTGAACCTTTGACTCAGAGGTTTAGTTCGCAAGATAATGAAGTAATGTTAGGAGATACAGTCCCATGATAACTAGTGGTCGACAGCAGGCTCACACGTCAATTGTTCTTTCAGGATCCGGGAGTCCGCGTGCATCATAGGTTTGGATTCAAAGTTTTACAACCCACCTGGATGGATCCTCCATATCTACCAAACCTGTTTAAGCACTAGAAATTCTTTTTTCGTTCTCTGAATTTTGTAAGAAACACCCTAACCACGAGAAGCCAGTGAGTAGGACTTCCCTGTCAGTGACTATACATGCGTATAGAGAGTTAGAGGGAGAACGGACTCTCTACTCTCTGACGTACCAGGGTATATACATATTAATTAGTAATCACTGAGTCGTTTTTTTCTTTATTGTTTTTCTATGTTGATACAATGGTTTTCGAGTAAATTCGCCATATGGTCATTAAATTAAATGACTCGATATCAGCATTCCCAATATTTGATATTGTATGGTTGATTAGTGGTCAGTAGAAAATTCCGCTTACTTCTTGACATACCTAATATTCTATTTTATGGTCTATCTGGGTTTTTTTTTAATTGCTCACATGTTCTCTATTCCTTTATCATCAGTTATTATATTCACTTCACATTTTATAAAAAAAGTATCTTGAATATTTCTTTACTGGTTATCGTCTTAATGTAAGCATTTAATAAATGTGACATATACATTAAGTTTGTGTTATCTTTAAGCTTCTCATAATGTCTACTTAAATAAACTGTTCAAGTTTTTTTTTCTTTCTTTTTCATTTATAATCACATAAAACTACTACTATTTTATAAAATTTATTTATCGCAGTATTTATTATTTTTGCTTGAAAGTTGAAATTATGCACTGTTTGGTTTTATTTTTCTCACTGATCATTGTAAATCATTCAAATGTAATACAATTAGTTGGTTGATGAATTGAATGCTTAACTAGTAATCTGTTTAGCTTTCTTTGTGGTTTAACTAGAATTGTGAATTAATAAAATTTAAACAATTTATAATCAGCTAGATTAATCATGTGATATAATTTAATGATAATAATAATAATAATATTATTATTATTATTAGTAGTAGTAAAAGAATTTAGTATTCGTTCGAAAGTCCTCTTTAAATATTTTTGTTATATCTTAAATTTCTGTCTGCGTTTTTGTGAAAAAATATTCATGTTTTCATGAATAATTCAAAATTCATGTTTGAATCAGCTTTTGATTTCCGACTATTTTTTTTTGAGAACGTGATTAAAAGATTTATTGAAAGATTTACTGGGTAACTTGAATATTAATTAATGTATATTCATTGATGTTTTTACAAGTAAGATGAAAAAGATTTTGCTCTTTTCCAACTTAGATATATTGTGTAATTGTTTATGAGATCATTAAACTTTTATGTTAATGAATAAATTAATTTACTACCTATAATTAACAAGACAAGAATTACCAAATATACGGCGATATCAACTCGACCATAGCTGTCACTTTGATATGGTCTCACCTATTGTGCTGACTCAACCGAGCTAAATTGGATAGAAGACATGTTTATTTAGGTCCTAGCATTCCGGGTAGGTTGGTCGGAGAACGGTTAGACTGAAAGCAGCATTTTAAGATCAGAGGGTGCAGTCTTACTGCTGACTAAAAGGTAAAGTAGCATTAACGTATTTCTTTCGGACAACCAGCACATACAGTGGTATTGCCTTCTCATAAACGAATGACGGCGTCAACGTAGGTCAACCATAAAAATGTCACGCTTATTCCATGAATTTTCATCTCCCCTCATAAGCCATTCAAGTGCTGACTAACATATCGAAAATTCCTCGTAGAAAGCTATGTGTGATCGTGTTTAAGTACCTGGGCTCTATCCTTCCACTGTGTAGGCAGCTGGGAAGTGACAACCGCCCTATTACACGCAATGGCACTTGAAGTCATCCAGTTCATTATCACATCTCTCCCTCACACTTTAAACACGCTCTAATACACACGACTAACTCTTCTTGCATATATTTACCATCTCGCGTCACTTATTCTAATGATTCGAGTTCACGAAATGTTATTTCTGGTCTCCTGGAACTACACTCTAAACTACGTTTTGTATCTTTTAGTGTAAGAACCTTTTTCCAAGTAATACAACAAGCTTCTTTAGATTGGACTCTAGGATCTCGTGCAATTGATGTATGCCGCCTCCCCATAATTCACATACGGGATCAAAGTAGAGTAATTCACTTTACCTCATGTCGTCGATATAAAGAACCAGTACTATTGAAAATCGCTGTATCTGTAGACTGCACTGCTACTTGTTGTGGCATAGCTTTGAGTTGAAAAATAAATCTGGCTCTCCTAAACTGGATTTCAGTAGAAAATCGCTGGTACACTGTCTGACTTAAGTTAGGGACACTTTCCACATTGATAGCAACGATCGTTGGAGAAGCTCGAGGGAAGACTAACGCTTATTGTGGAACACAATAAGATCAGAATCGTGCTCTAACACGAGCAAGTATTTGTTCGTCTCTTACTGAATGTCAATAAAATAACGAAAAGAAAATGCGATGAAATTCAACTCAATGATGTGGTCGTAGCTAGAATGTAGGAACTGGATGTAATCCTATTTGAGTGTTCTTGATTACTTATCATCCCGGTTTATAAGAAAGGACAACAGTCTCCTTGCAACAATCACGGAACACTCATTTTAACTATTACAGTGTTGTAAACGGTTATTTCGTCGGGCGTGAGGTTCTATGGTAGTGTCTCTGATTGAAAGGAGTACTAATAATGTGCTTCACCCTATCGCAAGCTATGTACTATAATACTACTGGTCAAGTCATGATTTATGGCCAACTGTCATCGGAGTTAGTTAGTTCTGGAGATGTCCATCAGGGTTGTACATTTTCCCATTTTTATTTAACTTTCGCATTGGCATGATCTTACAGATAACACTGATCGTTTGACTTTACGGGGGTCAGTCTTGTTTCATTAGATTCACTGGTTTACTTTTGATAGACAGCTGACATAATTGTGTTTGATGAATTCGCCGATAAAATGCAATCTTCTGATCACGTTGAGAACTGTCCTAGCTTTGTGTGTAGTGCGCTTCTCCCCCTTTACATGAAAATGCCGCTTTACGAGTGACTTGCTTTGCCATCTGGATTATTGATAGGGAATGAAGTGGTTGATAAAATAGTCTACTGATATATAGTGAAAGATTATTCATCTACTGTTCGTCATCGTAGACGATTGTAACATTCCGACTATATGCCCCATAACATTTAAATGTAGCTCTGACAAACTACTAGAAGTATTAGGAATTTAAGTTCCAAATTAAGTTGAACCAGTTAAAATATGCGCATATTTCTCATGTCTTTCCGTTTTTTTCTTATATATAACTTAACTTAACTTAAGTTGGCAAACAGCATCGGGGATTACATAAGGTTTATCGACAATTAGGTGAATAAAATATAATAAACCGTGGATCCAGTTAATTTTAGTGACATATCTTTATTGTGGTTGTCATATTGTGTTTGAAAACTCTATGTTGAATGATAGATTTTGATATCTTTAGTATGTGAAATTCTACGCGATTAGATCAATTATACTACTAATCTGTTACAGTTCTTGTTTCTTGTTTACATTATCGTTTGTAGCCATAACAACAGAGATAAGTCTTTTCCCTACACCAGTCATTGAAATATAATAATATTTATTTCTATTTTATGTTCACTTCGAGTACATATATATATATATATATATATATATATATAATGACTATTAGACGTCTTTTCAGTTGAGTTACATAAAACCTCTTCTTTTCTAATAATGATATTATTATTATCATTGTTACTATTCGCTTTCAGTATCTTCATTCAAAATTATTATTATTATTGCGTCTTTTCTTTTAATCTGTCTACTTCATTTAAAATAAATTGAATCATTAGGAACTACGTAACACGAAAAATGATCTTAGTGGTGGGTTCAATACATTAAGACAATATAATGTGTTTACATGTACGTTGGTTTATTGATCAGTAGCAGCTACTTGAGCTATATTACTTACTTTTATCATTCGATCATGTGACCTCCAACCTACTCTATTTCATGTCAAAAAATTCCTCACTCTTATTATCACAGCTTTTATGAATTTTACGCACATGGTTAGTTGGCTGGTTGGTTGATTCATTTGACTAGTTTGTTTTATTAATTAGCTTAAGTAAGCAAAGTGAGTGAATTAATGAATGAATGAATGAATGAGCATACTTTATGTGTCAGTTAACACAACAAACGAATAAAATTTACGCATGAAATAATAACATGAACAGTATTAATTTTATTCAACTTATTAATAATAATCTAGTGTTGTTGGCAACGGCGAAAAAAGAAAAAAACTGATAAATTTATGACGATTTTTAATGATAATTTGAGTAATTATTCTTTACAGCCAGATGGTCATAAAGATTAGTTGGCTTACAGAAGAAGGAATTATTTCTCATTGTTTTTTACCACTTATATTCTCTTATTTGTGCGAATAATAACAATACTATTAATACTACTACTAATACTACCAATAATAATAATAATAATAAATAGTTACAATTATTATCAGCATTATCAACTATGATTATTATCAGCATAATCATATTAATTCTTGATCGAAATAATCTAAAAGATACATCATTTATAGATGTATGAGCAAATAAAACGATGAATATGGGATTTGTTAAACCATATGGTCAACATTTTTCTCGTTTTTTTTTTTTAAAGGCTGTACTTACATGTATGTGATACCGTTATACGCATTCGATTATGTGAATAAGTTAGGTTAACAAGACAAGTACGCATGTATATATGTATATATATATATATATATCAACAAATAATGCTCCTACAATAGTCATTGGTCTCTGTATACAATCGTTTGATTGCTTTAGTTTTGATAGCGTTTCTCAACTAATATCTACAAGAAAATAGGCAAGCAAATATTGATATACAAATTAATTGAATTATTGATAACTGGTTGTTGTTGGTGTTGTTGTTGTTTCTCTCCTCTCTCTCTCTCTCTAACTCTTTTTGATATTGAATATGATATTTTGGTAGAGTATCATTCATTAGTTTATTGAATAATTATATGAATATTTTTTTAAAAATTTTATTTCATAAAGTTTATTAGATAGATGGATAAACTATACTCAAGGTTATAGTTGATCACATGAACTCTCTTAGTGAATGACAACTAACAGCACAGTATTGTTTTCGAAATAATAACGAAAGTTTAGTGTAGATATTAATTATGAAGAACAAATATTCATTAGTGAAAGATGGTGCTATTGAATGCAGCGTATTGACCAATTGACTGATGTCTGTTCTATGGGAATTTTGAAATTAAACGATAAACCAATAAATAATGACTATTGATGATGATACCCTAAGATGTAGATTATAATAAAATGAATTATTTACATTATAAAAACTAGTGTGATACAATAAATTTGTAACTTATGGTACCACCAGTTTGATTTTAGTTGAAACTATGATTAATAATCTTTTAGGATTTCATTTGGCTTCAATGTTCAATTATCATTAATATGTGTGTAATGTAAAACACATAAAGTAGCACACAATTTCATATTATAGAAAATGATATAATATTGACAAAAAAATAATTGAGATGAATAAAAATAATTGTTTTATTTTTCAACTTGACATAATCTCAAATTATGGTTATTTAATTATTTCATTTAAATCAACATTCGTGTGCAATAAAAAGAATATCTGAGTTTCTCTTTTTTATTCTCGTTGATTTAAACCTTTAATTTCAAAAGCTTTCATTATTAAATTTAATCTTTCTGTTACTTTTAATTTCGAATATCAACTCTATTTTATTCTGTATTACAACGTAGAGTAATTCACAGTACCTCACGATCGATAGAGTCGAATGCCGTTTTCGGATCCAGGTAGACAACTATTGTCGAACGTCTGAATGTGTGTATGTGTTCTATGAAGTGATGAAGAATCATCCACCTCGAGGTCGAAACCTAGCCTGGTTTTCTCGAGTCACGAGTTCTAGTTAGGCGTCAACGTACTATTGAGGCTAACATTTTAGACACTATATTAGTTAGACTGATTCCTCTGTGATTGTCACAAGAAGACTTCTATGCTTTCTTATAGACTGGGACAGTCAGTGATTGAGACCAGTTAGATAGGATTAGACCTAGTTCCCATATTCTACCTTAGATCTGAGTCAATCTAACTGCTAAAACTGGACCAACATCCTTAAGAATTCTTCATCATGAACTGATAATATATGTAATGATGGAAAAATACTTTTTAGAAACATGAATGAATAGATTCAAGTAGAGCTATTTTAAATCTGGCTAGTTTGTTCATGAATTCTATTGGCATCCTTTTGTTTATAAACTTATAAATATGATCTTCTAGAATTAGCATTAGAAGCTACGCCATTTAGTATTTCCTTAACCATATAATATATTTGTCAGATGCACTGTATATCACTATCAGATATTTCTTGTAAGTAAGCTTACACACCATGCCACATTCAATTTTAGGCATTTAAAAACTAGATACAAACATTTCTTACTTAGTTCTTATTGAGACATAAGCTGGCTTTCATTCTTCTATGAATTTCATCTAGAAACCTGAAAGTTGTTATCATAAATCTGATCAACTCATCCAAGTTCGTCAATGTAATCTTGTTGAATTTTCTATTCAAAAAAAAAACAAACAAACAACTGATTAACTTTAACTCGTGTCCAACCGTTATTTCACTTATAAAATCCAAATAAAATATGTTCAGTATAGAAATTGGATCATAAATGTGTAAATCAAAATTTTAATTATTTCAAAAACGGTCTGTTGATAAATATCATTTAGTTGATCTAAATTTTTGTAACAGTCTGCAATATTAACAAAAGACATTTTATTATTTAGAGCGTCATTTTAAACACATAATTCACTTATTAGTTGACTGGAAATCGAAATAATATTTTTTTTATTCACAATCAATAAATTAAGTTGAATGTTTATGAATTTCTAACAAAAAATTTATTTCTTCTGGTTTGAATTATAAAATAATTTTTATATATTTTTATGAGTACACTATTGTACAACAACTAATTTATAATATTAGCATAATCGTTCGATATGTATCCATGTCTAATTTTCGTTTTCATTTCATGTACATTCTTTTTGTTATAGATTTTATTCATATTGGAATTATTGGAGCAGTTGTATTCATTGTATTAATGATAATGTCTTTAGTCTTAGGAGTAATATTCTATCGGTAAGTTAAAAAAAAACTATTAATCTCTCTCTCTCTCTCTTTCTTACATAGTCGGTTGGTTATTTTTATGTTATTATTTTGTTCTTTATTGTTTTTATAGATTTTTGTTGACTTTTTTTAAGCCGTTGTCTGAGCATAGTTATATCAGATAGTCACTGTTATCTGTTTTCCGAGGCCCAACACGATGAGATACCTGATGGAATACTTTTCAGTCCAATTTACACTACGTACTTAGGTGTAAGATCGCTTGTTCTGAGGACTACATCTGAGTTTTCAGGTCTTTAATTGAAGACAGAACATTTTCTGTCTTTTATTCCATATGAATTGCAGTCATTGGGTGCAGATAAATACGGTGATGTGTGTACCTGCTTTTCTGAGCTCTTGCTGTCGCGCTGTATACACTGGACTGTTGACTGGAATCTAGTCTTGGAGAGTTTGATTTGCTTTTCAAATTAATTATATATGCACACCAACGAGGCCATGATAAATAACAGTCAATACCCCAAATACATGGATTGTAGATAGTGCAGGTTCTGTAATAGTGATTATGTGGAATCAGATGAATGACCACACTTTGATCCTATATACGCATGATTTGGAGATTCAGCATGCATTAATAGTACAAGATTTTACAGTCCTAGCTTAGAAATCATGTTATCAAATTTTAAATTAGGTTCAAGCATTGGAAACAATAGAGCTTATAGTTGGAACAGGTTTTCACGACACTGGGAGTGATAATTCCAGTGGTTCAGTGTTTTTTTAACTAACTGATTTAATGGGATTCAACAGTCACCTGATAATTAAATTCATTTTTTCTTATTTTTAATTACTTGTTGTGATCATGATATGAATAATAAAATATTATTATTTTATAATTTCTGTTTGCTTGATCGTTGGATTGATTACATAGAAGAAATTTGGACTAAACTGTCTCATTGAACAAAAAACAGCTGTCTAACAAACTTAATATATATATATATATATATATATATATATATATATATTAGTTATAGTTATAGTTATTTTTTGTTCATAAACATTGGTATTTTACATTTATCTTTTCATTATTGTTATCATCATCATCGTCATCGTAGTCATAAATTAAAAATCGTTTTTCTATTTTGTAAACTGATATTGAATGTTGAATTACATCGTATTTTGACAGTATCTATGCTTAGTGTTGAGTTCTTTTTTTCACACCTATTAGATTTTTTTTTCAAAATATAAAAATTATTTGTTCTATTTGTAACTTTTTTTTTTATTCCCTTGCTTACTCTTTTGATCCTATCGGCTTATCAATAATTAGCCTATTCTATTGCTTAATCATATTAGTTGCTGCGAACAAAACATCATTAGTTTGTTATCTAAATTTACATCGTAGTACACTCACTGTATTGAATAGTGCATACATATACGCACTAATAGCATAAACAATCTGCTTATTTATTTTACTTTTTATTAATGAAGACAAAAAAAGAAATCCAATAGAATGAAAAGACTAAGATTATGCGACCTTTGTGATATATATTAGTGCGATACATTTCGGACAAACTGATCACACATTTATTTGTTAAGATATTTATATGTAAAAAAATAATAATAAATTAATTTGATAAATTCAGAGATAGTGGAAAAAGAGATAATAAGGATAACCGCTCGGATTGAACTACTAGATGAGACATCAATATCAATGTAGTAGGTTTAGTGTGAACGCACATTGTTTTTGAAGACATAAGGAGATTTAAATATATTCATGACTAAGGTTTCTCAGAACCTAAGTATTCTTCTTAGACAACTGAGTTACAATCAGTATTACGACCGGTTTCAACTAGATGTTTTTCTATTTGATTCTATTTGTTTTTGTTGCTTCATTCAGACATGTTCTTACGTTAACTAGTCATTTAACCATTCTAAAGAATTTATCACTATTATGAAACAGTAAAAGTAATCTCTTTACTCTATTTAACAGCTTTACAACGGTTGTTAAGACTGATAGTACAATATTTGAAAGTATATACGGTGTATAATGAGATTAGGAACTGAAAGATGTTAATGTCAGGATTTTAGCTTCCAGCAAACATAGTGATTGAGTTATTGTTTCTGTCTATCGGGATTACTGAAGTTAAATAAACTATAGTTCATCAATCAGTTGCTATTTGTCTAACATAACGACATTAAGTCACCAAACATCAGCTTGAGCCGTCTTAGAAAATGCAGCCTTATGAATCGACAGAATTACACGATCGGAAACTTTAGGTGAGCATGTCAAAATGGACTACAATGATATGAGTGACTATCATTTTTCATTTTACTTCAAATGAACTTTAACTTCTGTAAATGGATGCTAATTTTTCTTATTTCTTTACGTTTGCTTTCAGTTTTTTTCTTTATCACTATCATTCAATCAATTTTACCTATTTCCTATTTCTCATTGTGTTTGTATCAAGTGTAGCCGCTGTTATATATATATATATATATATATATATATATATATATATATATATATATTTAGCTTTTCTGATTGTTTTACACTTTGAAAAATAGAATAGGATGTATTAATCGATCTATGTGTTTATTTATTTTCTATTTGAGTAAGAACAGCTCCATGTATAGTAGTTATTGTGCATAACGTAATCTAATTAACTCTGTAGTAAATTTTACATTTGTAAAACAATGTAGTTTCGTATTTTTGATGAGTGTTCTTTTCATCAAGGTTATACATAGTTTTATTAATGATTAGCAGGACCCATGAAATATAGATTTAATATTTTTATATACATTTACTAGTAGTGACATCTAGAGCATACGTTTATTAAAATCGAAATTAGTGCTTTTTGCCTTGAAGATTAACGTGTTATTAATTTAGCTACTCAGTTTAGATGGCCATTAGTTTTTGTAACGTGTATAACTTTCATTTAATTGGTAAAAGTTTACTTTATCTGCTTGTTGATACTCATGAGTAAAAGAGATTCAACTGGGATCCAGCTAAATAGTCTCAAATAAGACGAAATTCACGTCCTGGATTTCATTGCTAGCACCAATCCATGTATTCTGTCAGCTTTGTAACAATAAAGCCATATCGAGACAATCCAATAGGGATAAACACATACACCAACCAAGACTAGTAGAAATTCAATCAACAAAATTAAAACAATTCAAGCTCCCTTAAAGTAAAATTAAGTTCTGTATGTTACTTTTTATTTTTACTGTTTTTTATTCTAGACAAAGGATGCTATAGTTTACCTTAAATAATTTACATTTATTGTCTATTTGTTCAATTATTTTTTACTCGAGGAGCGCAATGCTAATGTAATACATATTCTCCTATTTAATAAAATTGTTCAAGTTGACAAATTAAAAGTCAGTCAACTGAAATAACCTTTACATTTTTATCTTCATTACATGCGAATATTTTTCCGAATGAATGTATCTGTCATAAGTGTTGAATGAGACAGCTTTACACATGAATAAAATTTCATTCTTGTGTTTAGTTAGAAAACTTAGTAATATTCATCACTTGAAGCATACTTTAGAAACTGCAATTCATAAATAATCAATTATTTCTTAAATAATTGTCCGAAAATTTTATTTATTAGGATCATGTTTGTAGAAGAGATTATTTCATTATGCCTATACAACTTTATATGTATTTTGATAGAAGCTTAGACTAAGAATAATAATAATAATAATTCTCTGTAAGTAGTTAATTCTGTACATGAAAACTCTACAATCTTCATCAAATTCATGTTACTAATAAGCATAAACACTTGTACTTGCTACACTTTCACATCAGTTACATTGGATAATACACAATTTATGAAGATTTGTTGTGTAGAAAATTGGATTGTTAAATATTTCACTATTATAGACTAATCACTAGAACTTAAATTAATTACGTTTTTTTTCGATTGTTTATTATTGGCTGTATACTTTCTTATCAAGGTGTTATCATGCATGATTCAAAATAGAAGTGAATAATAGTCCTGCTGTAATTCAGCTTTACTTTCTTCATATAAATGAAATGAACTTCTTCAACTCAAAGAATCCTTTTTGAATTGATTAACTTCTACCATTAATTTTCCACTTTCGTTCATTTTTATTCTTTTACTGATTGTTTTTTTCTTTATTAATATACATACATTTATCATTGTACTTCTTAACAATTTCATCCTATTTTGTGACATATTTATATTTTGATGCCCATTTACACTGATATTTATGTTTAATTAAATAAATTTCATTGAAAAAAATCATAAATCAACCAATGTTAGGCTGCCATTAGAAACCGGGAAGTACTGGACGGTCATTTCGCGCTGGAACTGTACTCATCAATATCATGTGTTCATTAGTAACTAGCTTCGTGAGAAAATTCCCCGAGTCCTGTCGAGAAACCGTGATCAGTGAAATTCAACCGTGTCGGATGTGAGGCATTTATCCACTGAAGACAATAGATGATGGTCGCACAATGTCTTGGAGTGATCAAAGTTAGTCAGTAACATCGTTAGATGCTAGCTTAGTGATCAATAAGCATCTTGAATGGGCACTGCTGATATGTCCACTACTAAGACGAAATGACCATTCAGTATATCCAAGTTTCTAATGGTGATCCAACATTGATCAACTCATAATTTCAATGAAACTCAACAATCTCCATAACACTATAATGAGAAAAATAAATAACTTTTCTCATCTTTCTTCTTTTTGCTTTAATAGACGTGCTAAATTTCAAGCGGAACTACGTGCTATGAACTGGATTATTCCATGGGATGCATTACAAGTAACAGAGAAACATTTACGACGTTATCGACGTGAAAGTGATATTCGTTCACCAAATGAATCATCCGATCCATTAAGAAAAATATCATCAGAAACATGTACTGTAGCAGCAAATAAATCTTTACTCACTTGTGGTGATACAATAAACAATGAAAATCTAGCACAATTTTCAAATACAGTTGAATTTTGTACAACAGTTGATGAAATTTCTCCAGAGAAACCAAATCGTAAAATTTCATTTAGTAATCTTATTTTATCTGCAATCAATTCTTCTGGAAGTAATACTACTGGTAGTGGTACTAATTTACCAGTTGAAAAGAAGCGTCGTAAAACATCAACTTCTGGAAGATTTTTAGCTCGTTTCGCTGGTGATCCGATAACATTACCACCGACAGTATTTGAAGAGTCCGCTTCGCAAACTACACCACTACCTAATTATCTTGGTTATACACCAGCACAAGGGTTTAATACAACTAAACGTCAACATCGATTATCTAGGCGAAGTAAAACAAATGAGGAAAATCAAGCAATCGATGTTAATAGTCCAACAAATGGACAAAATAGTAAAGGAATGCCAGAATGGACTTATTTTAAACATCCATCTTTTGATTATTCTTTTACTAATAAACAAAATAAATATCGAAAGAAACACGATAGTGTTGGGATGGATGTAAGTTTCATTTTTAATATTATTATTATTATCAATATTTCTAGTTTAGGTGTTATAATCACTTAATTTGACTATGCTTGTACTTAAGTATAATTTATGAACCAGTCTAACACTATAATATATGTACTGAATTTGTAAGAATTTAGAAGTGCTTCATATAGACGCATCTGCACATTGATAGATGATTATTTCATCCGCTTCGCAGGAGTCTACTTCAATTATGTTGTTTTTATATCATTCAAAGTCACCACTCATTCAGTCATTTACAACTTGGAACTTGGTATGTAGTTACATAAGTTCCGGTTGACATATCACATTAGTACAGAGACGCAATTGTCAGTTCAAATCCCATTGTGGTAGACATAGCAGAATCATTAGCGGCAATGGAGAAGATTAGGGTTCGAAGATATTATTCAAGAAGTATCTAGTGAAATAAACTTAAAAAGATAAAGTGGTGAGGAATTCAGAAGGTTATGATTTGAGGGAACATAAAGAATGAATGCACTTGCGCTATCGCAAACGATTTTGAGCCGTCTTTCAAGTTCTCTAACCATTGGTGACTTTTGTCTCGCGGACCCCAACCAGGTGGTCGACACCTACCGACATGACTCAGTCCACTTCATGTATTTGTGCCATGTTTTGGTTTGGCCGCCCCTAGCTTTCTTCCAACCTTCTCCTACACCATGAACCATCGCTTTTTAAAGCAGTCGGCGGTTACGTATGCGTAACACATGTTCCAAACACACCAACTAATGAAGTTTCAATACTTCATTTATTGACTTGCTACGTAGTACCCTTTCCCTAACAACTGCATTGCTTCCTTGATTGCCCCAAGAAACGAGAGAAATGCTTCGAAAAAACCTATGATCAAAAACCAGTAACCTACGAATACTCTCTACTCTAACTGGCCATTTTTCTCATCCATAAAATAAGAAGGAGCGAACTGATGACTCATAATTTAGTTAGCAAATGAATGTCTCGCTTACGCCATAAGTGACGCATGTTGGCAAGAGCCGATTGAGCCTTCTGTATCCGTTCTGAGGTTTCATCAGTCATCAGGCTGTCGGCACTGATGAGACTCCCGAGATAACTGAACCGGTCAACACATTCGACTACTTTACTCCATATAAATAGTTCAGGTACCGATGAAACCCAATTTTGAAGTAACATTTCGCATTTCAAGGGTGGAAACCGCATCCCGAACATGATTGCATTGTTGCTCAGGGTAGTCAGAAGACTCTCCATTTTATCAGCGTCTTCACCAAGTAGGACCATGTCATCGGCATATTCTAATTCGATAGGCGAGCCTCCTGGTAGGTCCACTCCTGAACAGTCAGATGAAGATAATGCTATATCTAGGAGCATGTCTATGACAAAATTATTTAAGAATGGGGAAAGTGGACACCCATGAAGGACACCACTTGAAGTAAAGAATTCCGATGACAGTTCGCGATAAGCTCTCACTCGATATGTAGTGTTTGAGTACAGAGCTTGTATAAGGTTAATGTACTTCTCTGGTACACCTTTCAATGACAGACACTGCCACAGAACCTCACGATCAACAGAGTCAAATTCCGCCTTGAGGTCCAGGAAGACAGCTATTGTCGGACGCCTAAATGTGTGCCTGAGCTCCATGGCCTGTCGTAGAGTGGAAATGTGGTCTATACATCCACATCCAAGTCTGAAAACAGCCTGGTTTTCTCTAGTCTGCTCTTCATGAGCTCTAGTTAGGCGTCCAAGGATAACTGAGGCTAACAATTTAGAAACTATATTAGTTAGACTTATTCCCCTGTGATTGTCACAAGAGGACTTTTGTTCTTGCTTACAGATTGGGACAGCCAGTGATTGAGACCATTCAGATGGGATTATGTCCAGTTCCTAGGTTCTACCTAAGATCTCAGTCAATCTAACTGCTAAAACTGGACCACCATCCTGAGGAATCTCAGGGGTCAATCTATCAGGATCCTATGCTCTCCCTCGCTTCAGATTTCCTATATCCTTTTCAAATTCATAAAGGTTCGGAGGACTTACATCGATTTGCCATTCAGGTTGACTGGACCACCATCCTTAGAAATTTCAGAAATTAACCTATCATTCATTCATTCATTACATGTTTTTCACTTTCTACTTGTTTCTTTATTTTATTTTTCTAAATCTAGTCTGATCCATTGATGGAATTCGATTTTTTCAAAAAGAAAAAGGTAAGGAGTTTTTTTGTTCATTAATATTAACCCGCAAGGTATTGTGATTAATGATTACTATGAAGAGTAGAAAGACTACTGTGTATATATTAAGTCTGTAGAATGAATCCTGGCTAGTTGTATGCTCAAATATTTGGATAACCTTTTTTCCAACTATGCAATTTTTTCTCTTAAACTTCCTTTTTTTAGATTTATTTCAACTAACTAATTATGAATGTTAACTGTAGGTATTCACTAGCTTCTATTAATGATAGATGCGAACAGAAACACTAAGGTAATCGGGTCATTATCTTTTTCGATTATCCTTTTTAACCAAAAAACGTGAGGCTAATATATTATTGGAATGAGAAAATTTTTTATAAAATCGATAGAAAACTTGAATTTAACAAACTAACTTGTCGGAAACTTTAATCATTGAACACGATTGGCAAATATTGACTGTTGTAAAATTCTCGTTTTATGACTATACTACTTATTAGTAACCAGGGCTCATCCATATTTTCTTTTATCTCATTGGTTGAATTGATTGAAACATATTTTACATAGACAACTACTTAATGTCTGTCATGTTACGTTGGGCTGTTTTACGATTGATTGTCGTTGTTTTTGTCTTATCACCTTGAATGTAAGCTTAAATTCAATGAATTACGATTTATTGTAGAACCAAACTTACATTACTCATATACAATATCTATAGATATTTTCTTGTAACCAAGACTGTCTTATCATTTAAATAAACCTTAAATATACTGTCCTGTGAATCTGACAAGTGATGAAAACATCTCTCAGAAAATACTTTTGAAATAAATAGAGTTTTTAATGTGTCAAATGGGTATTTGTGGTTATATTGTAAAACTGATGCTAATAAATTGATTCACTGTACAACAGTTCATTGTGTTGAATAAAGCATTTATTAATCATTGTTTATAACTGCACAACTAAATTATACCATTCACAAGTATAGTTTTTCTTCACTTCAGTGATTTTTTATTATGATCATCTTTCAGTCAATTACCGTCAACAATGAATAGCATGTTAACTGAAATGTGATAATAACCAACACTGTTTAAATCATATATTGTATGAAATGCACTTACTAAATTATATTGATATTTTATTCTTCATCTTTTTATCTTTAACTGATGTAATTGAAGCGTGTATTCTTAATTTTAATACTGTCATTTTCGATTAGTTTTCGTCTGAAAACACACACAGTAAACGGAGTGATTATTTGTAGGTAACATATTTTTTCTTATAATCTATTTGATAAAATGTGAATTATGCAAGTATTATGCTTTTATTATTAACAAGGCATTTAATTTGTAAGTCAAGTCATTCCTAACTTTTCACTTGTAGGGTGGCCTTACCGGAACTAGTCATATGACTCTCTCTTTCTCTCTCTCTTTCTAGTCATTATTTCAACAAATTTGATGAATATCATCATTAAGAATTTTTGAATTGATCAATAGGCTCATTGTTTAATTGTATTGTTGTATTGATACATTGTTCAGCCTATATGGTTTTTAAAATTTTCAATATCATGAATCTTGAATAAAGTTTTATTTTATAAAAGAAATAACAATTCAATTGAAAAATTGTCTTTGAAGTTATCTAGTATGATTATACATGATTGCAAAGTATTAGAAATGCTGAAAATAATCGTCATCAAAAAAGACAATCATTGCTTTGATTTGAATAAATGATGCAGATGTTTTGAACTCATACTTCTCTTCAAGATACTTTATTTACTATTAACTAGTAAATCATGGATTATTTATTTTTCATCACTTCATCAATTTTAATTCAATAAACCAGAAAGTTGTATGAAATGGTTAACACACACACATTTACACAATCACTAACTTATTGAAATCAACCCATTAGGTTTGTTCACACTTTGTGATTTGCTTTATTGGAGACTTTGTTTTTCAGTTTTCCATGAACCTATTTACACTGTATATGTATATGCATACATTAACAGTTATATTAGTCATATATATATATAATATTTCGTCATTAAGTTGAAACATTTCAATGGATAAAAATTGTATTCATATGTGCGCAAAACTGTTTATTGTGACCGTTGATTCTGTTACAAATAGATACCATCTCTTTTGTTTTTAATGTGAGGTTAAAATTTTATCAGTCTAAACATAAGATCAATAATGATCATTGTTGTAATTAAAAATTGTTATACATTTGTATTACAGTCTTAAGCTTTTTTTAGATACATGTTCTTAATTTTATCGAACATACGTTAAGTCTTCTGAACTACACTGACTAATGTTTATCAAATAGATTTATTATTAAGAAATAAACAATAATATTAGTAACAACAACAACAACATTGTATTGCTCTTGATTAGAGGATAATTAGTTAGTCACATCACACTACCATTGAATATAATTAGTCCATGTCATCCAAAGTGTTGTTTTTTTTGGGTGGAGAAGGGTGAAAGGTTAATATGTAGCAAATTTAATCTTTCATTATTTATTTCTATAGACTTATTCATTTGACATGAAGATTAGTTGTTCACAACGATAGTACATATAAGTGCATTGAAGTCAATGAAAGAAACAATAGCATCTATCATAGAGTTGATTAATTTTAGGAAAAATTGAATCATAATAGATTGTACTTTTTAACTTAAACAATCATATTTATGATAATAACTTTAAATCTAAACGATAAAATTTAGTAAATTACATTCAATCAATATTCGATTTTCTTACAACGTTCAAAGAAGTCACTCATTTAGAAGAACGAGTATAAATTTTTATGCATTGTGTAAATGGTTTTGAATACGTTTATTGGTGATATTTCTAAATGAACTTTGATCAGTCTTAGTTGGTCCAACTGTATGCATATTTAGTTTTCACTTAAAAATTGTGTATTGTTTTCGCACTTTAATGAAATCTATACAAGTTTGCTACTAGTCTATATGTACCTGAGAAGAGGAACATGAAACTTAAATATTTCAAAGGTACTTCACTGTGACATTGTCTGTAACATCATGAAGCGCGTTTAGTTTTAAATTGATTAATTGAAAGTTTAAATCCCAAACTCTTCAGCATTTAAATTGATGTTACTAGTGTAAAAATAAATCAAAGTTGAATATCATACAGTTATACATGAATTGATTTGAACAATTAAAATTGTATTTATCATCAAAAACATAAGTATGTTTTCATTCTTCTAGTTATCCAAATATTTCAATTATTTCATCTAACCTGTTTATTGGGTAAGATTTTTTTTTCTGCTTTCTCATTACATCATTAAATGCTACAATATACATGCATATCTATGAAAAAAAAACAATGCGGAAAGAAAAAAATACCATTCATTAATTTAATAACTCACTGCTATTTATTTAGCGATATTCCTCCTTGTTATTCCATATTAATTTATCGGCATTAATAGTAGAATAAAATACATATACATATACATATACATAAATATATGTATATGTATAAAATAAAAATCATTATCTGTTACATATTGACGTACAGAAACTTTGTCTACTTTCATTCTTTTATCTGTATGGATCTGTTTGTTTGCTTTACTATAAAACTTATCCAATACTTTTATTAAATTTAATGATGATGATGATGAGGATGATAATGATGACGATGACGATGATAAAATGACAATTTGTATAAAGAATAGATGAGGAGGATAAAGAGTAAGAGGGTAAAGAAAGAGAGAGAGAGAGAGGGAGAGAGGGAGAAAGAAGAAGACAATGGAGCATACTGAAGAATGTGAATAATGTTAAAGAAGATGAAGAAAGGCGGAAAGTGAAACATATACATATATATATGTTTTTTTCTTCCTTAATAGTAAAAACAACTCTTCTATGGAATTCTGTTTTTTCTTTCTCTCTTTCTATCTATCTAGTTTTTTTCTAGCCACACTTTGAATGTATGCAAAAACAAAATTATAGGAATGCATTAATTGCTATTTGTTTGTTGATTATAAGAGTTTTTCCCTAGTAGTTATCATGATTAGCAATAAAAATTACGTAAGAAAAGAGTGAATACATTTTTTTCCTTTTTCATGATTAACCGACATTTATTTGTGTATGAGAAAAGGAAAACATAGACAAATAAATAATTCTGTAATATATATTTAATAGATTTTATGCATTAAAATTAAACTACAAAATATTTTACTCTAGTTTATGATATGATTTGCATCGTATTACAAAGTACGTGTTTTCTTTTAATCTAAAACTTTATTAGTTGTAATATCTTATCTACATTCTATACATTAGCTTGTACATGTTTATACTGTAACTTGAGTACATCTCATAGCTTCTACTAATCTGTATTAGACATTTGTTATTTAACAGATCATTATGACATGGCTCGAAACGGTTTGCAATAGGCTCAGGTGCATTTATTCTTTGTGTTCTATGAAATCCTAGCCTTCTAAATTCCTCATCACCTCTATCTTTCTCTTTCTGAATTTACCTCACTGAATTATAATTCTTGAATAACATCTTCGAACCCTTATCTCTCCGATTACTTCTAATACTTTTACTACCTCTACTACTATGGGATTTGAATTGACAATTATATCTCTGTGCTAATGTGGTATGGCAACTTGAAATAATGTACTTACGTTCAAAGTTCTACGTTGCTGTCGACGATGATAATGATGAGATCATTAAATTTAATTGTCCTAGGTTACCCACAGAGAAACTGGGGTCTAAGTTTGCAGGTGCAAACATTTTTTCATTAAAGGATCATACATATAGGATATTAGGCGAGTTACATATCTGAAATATTAGGTTATTTTTAATTACTATTTTAACATGTATTCATAATTCATAGAGCTAACGTTAACTTGTGCTAAGAATGTTATCTTCTTTTCAGTTCGTACAATAATTGATATGAAAAAATACCAGTCAGTATTGCATAGTTGTAATCTCTATTCAAGCCTTATTATCAATTGATAGGTTAAGTATGTAAGTTCATTATCATCATATAAGTAATGAAAGTGCTAGTTTATTTACTCTGTGTTAATGTTTTTTTCATTATGGCTGAAGCAATAGTCAGTGATTAATGGATAGCACAGCTAATGGAACAGTGAAGAACACATCAAATGAATAATCTGACTCAGAGAATATATTGCTTATAAGATAAAACATTAGAATACACTACAACAGAATTCACTATATACAGCTAACAACTTTTGGACTAAAAATCAATATTTAGTTAGTTCGACTTGTTTTTAGTACTTATTGCATAGCAACTATAACTTTATTATTTATATAAAAGGTAAAGATGCATATACATGTTGTTCATAGATCATTCAAGTGAAATGTAACCATATTTATCGATTGATAATTGTAGTTCATTTATAAGTTATTTGATAAACAATAACTCTCTAACATTTATTTAAAAGTATATATATTAGTTACAGCTCAATATAATTATTAATGATAGCATTAGTAGTTATAAATACAATTGATCGAAAAGTTCATTTTTATAATATATAAATAATATATTGACACATTGAATTATCTAACTTATTAAGTATAGTTTATTTTATTAATTTTAAATCCTTTCACCTTCAATTTGTACATCCTCTATATTTGCTTTAAATAAATAATTTTATTTTCAAATTTTTATCACAATTATTGATTGATTCACTAATGTTTGAATAAATTAGATCAATATCAATTCAATACGTTTTGTTAAATATAAACAATGAAACTGTATATATTGTTGTAACTTGATTGCTAATAAATTGAAATTCATGAATTCATGATAGCAATACAGTTCTTATTTGTTATTGTAAATACTTAAATACCACAAGAACATTAATACTTTATGCAAAAGAGTGATTACTACTATTTAAATATATATCATACAGTTAAACAAAAATAGTTGACTACTTTGAAAGTAGACTTTAACATTTTTCGATTAGATCATGGAAAATGTTAACAGTCTCATGTAGAAATAATCAAAAGCTTTATTCACTGATTTTCTTTTCAATTTTCAATAGTTTTTGGAAATCACAAGTTAAACAATAAATCGAACAAATGAAGTTTTATAATTATGTATGAATTATGCAATGAATTTTTCATGTTAATTTCCTACTATTCATTGGTATGCATAGTTAAAATGAAGTTTAGTTTAGTAAACTAATATTACATAATCATGTTTGTAATTTCTCAAATGATTTAAAGAAAAATAATATTGCAATGTTTTGTTCAATATTAAAAAAAAGAATGATAGAGTAATTATTAATTATTTTAAATAATTATTTGAAAAAAAGACAACAAAAAAATACAATTCTACAGAAATAAATGATTTAACAAACTATTGTAATAAAATGCTAAAAATAAACAAGATAAATGTTAAAATTTTGTGAGAACATATAAGTGAAAGAAAGATTAAAAAAAAAATGTAAACGGTAGAATGAATCAAAGTTCTATTGTAAATCTATTTTTTTTTATAATCTATGTCACTGGTCACGGTGTACAATGAGATTACATGAACTTCTTTTAATGATATAAAGATTTGGTTTTGTGAATATGAATTCCAATAACTTTAACAATAAACACAAACTGAACCCATAGGTCGTATAATAAACTTTGATAGAATACAATTCATAACTTCAATAGTTTTATTCAAATCAATCTGATATCCTGTATGAACAAGAATAAAAAAAAGATATTGATAATATCGAACTGGTCTTTTCCTTAACATTATTATTCTTATTGTATAGTTTGTTTTCCAATTATTCTAAATAATTTGTAATCATGATAAATTGATTGGATATAAATAGATTTTAATTTTATTTATCATTTTATTCAATAATTCAAACAAAATTTATGAATTAGTATGAAAATATTATTATTATTAATATTATTATTATTATTATAGCATTCACAAGGTTCTCAATCAAGTTTAGGCTCATTGGATACAATCTCTGGTATACAATTGGATAAATTAGCTAATTCACAAATGTTTGCACGTACAGCATTCTACATGAAAAGTATTGTTGCATTGAAACCATTACGTAGACAAACACGAATTGAACCATCTAAAGCTTTATCGATTGAAGTTAAAAAAGTAAGTTATGGATGATTTAAATTATTATTTTAATAATGTGTTTACTGATGATTTTTGTAAAGGTAGTTCGATTTCAGTTTTACTTTCAAACTTATTTTTCATTGATAACTTCAAAACACTTTGTATATTCTTAAAAGTGTTATTTAAAGTATAGAATAGAATAAGTTGTTTCAATGTGTTACTAGTCATTTGTTTTCAAATTTATCTCTCATTTTATTAATTTCTCGTTGTAAATTACAAATGAAATAAATTGAAAATGATAATAATAACAACAAAATAAAATAAACTGAAGTTCTTTTTTTTCCATAAAACCTATCAAGTAAAGGAAATTTTTGTTTAATATCTACCGATAACTAATAGGTAATAGAGATTATGACTTCTGATTAAAATATCAATGAATTTATATTCATTTACAGTCTGCTTTATGTCTAATAATCAAACTACTATTTGTAAAGTTCAATAGAAATGTATTTATTTGATTTTTTTTAAAAAGATTTTCTTCCATTTTATTCAATTAAGATGGTATTGATGACGATGATGATGATGATTTCATTCTAGCATGACATGAATTCATCTAATAAATAAACTTTCATTGATGTTGAGTCAGTTTACAGAAGACAATCTAATTTCGCACTTGGTTTATTCTTAAGTAAAGAAAATTTTTAGATAAACGGTGAATTAGAAATTTATACAACTCAGATAACCTTAGTTTGTTTAATAAACTTTGAAATAAAGCATTGTTTATTAAGGCTTTACAACACATACTGTCCTTAGGTATCATTACTTGGAAACTGTTAGCTTACTTATTTACTAAAGCTTATTACCTCTAATGGAGCATAGACAGCCGACCAGCATTCTCCAACCTACTTTGTTCAGGGCCTTTCCAGTTCATTCTTTTCATATCTGCTTCCGATTGTCAGCGTACATTTTCATTGGTCTACCTCCTTTCCTTTGGCCTTGGAGATTCCGAATGAGGGCTTGCCTTGTGACGCAGTTTGGCGCTTTCCTCAATGTATGTCCTATCCACCCCCACTACTTCTTCCTAATTTCTTCCTCTGCTGGGATATAAAGGCTAGATCATCTGTTAACTTATATTCAAATAATTTACTGCAATTTTTACATTCACTTTATAAATTGGTCTATACGATTGGTAGACTGATTATTGAACAGTTATGGCCAATATCATATTTACCTTGTGTTTCAGTGTTGATTAAAATCTGTTAGTCAGTTTGTTCATGGAGCTCTAATCTGAATGATATTTTAAGTAATTGAAGATCATATGGCAGATAATGATTCTTGTCGACCACTGAATACTTCGGTTCTATTTCATATTACGGATGGAAATATTAATAAATGTTCATAGAATTTCTTCATAATTAACTATTAGTTAGTTCTGTTAATTGATTGTGTAACTTTAGTTAACATGCTTATTTTGTTGGTTTTCGTTTCTGATTTGAAAATTTTACGTAAATCATTTCTATTTCATGAATAATTAATTATTTGATTATAATAAATTTTCTTTAAATTTTTTTTTCTTTTTTTTAAAAAAAAAATGTAAATTTAGGTTAAAGATTTAAATTGTGATCATATTTGTCGATTAATTGGTGTATGCTTAGAAGTACCACATCAATGTATTGTTTATGAATATTGTCCAAAAGGAAGTTTACAAGATGTTTTAGAAAATGAACAAATCAAATTAGATTGGATGTTTAAATTTTCTTTAATGCAAGATATTTGTCGAGTAAGTATTATTGTGATTGTTAGAAATATTTTATGAAATAACCAACAATTGTTCAAATTTTTATCATAATCAAGTGTAATTTAAATATTGTATTATATATATTTATCCCAATGAAACAGTTGGTATTATTGTTGATAAAATGAACAATTAATATTTACTCTTAACTAACAAGTAACTGATTAAATGTATTGTATTGTAAATAAGATTCAAATACATTCAAAATTCCTTATAGAGTTATGGAAATTGTTGTTTTACATTGAAATCATGAATCATTCATTGTTAGATCACCGTTAGAAACCTGGAAGCACTTAACGGATGTTTCGTCCTGGTATTAGACTCATCAGCAGTGTGTATGCACGATCCCTAATCTCGAAAATAGAATACAGGAACTTCACTCTTGTGTGCGAACGCCTAACCTCTAGACCACTAAGCTGGCATCCAACGGTGTTAATGTATATCTTTGATCAATTTAAGATAAAGAGTCCTGTACTAGAATGAAACGCCAGTCCAGTACTTCTAGGTTTCTAATGGTGATCTAACAATCATTGATTCATGACTTTCGAAATTGTTCAGTAGTCAATAAATTTGATTGTTGAATATAAAAAATAATTTATATTATAATTTATTTCAATTTAATACTTTTGAACTTCATTTATCACTTCATATCACAACATCTATAAGTTAGTTTTTTTTACCATCACTAATACTTTTATTATTCTTACTGTTCTGTCATTGAACTGATACATGTATGTATCGAATTCTGTGTTACATTTGACTTAATACTCTATTGTATATGAATCATTGACTTAATGGTTAAGAAAAAATATTCATTTTCCAATCAATTCTTGACCGAAATTCAACTTATTTCAATTTTTTTATCAACTATCCGTGTATTATCATGTGATCAACTCTGATTTACATGTAAATAATTGACTACTAGAATCAGTATGATTAATTATACAATTGCACTTGTATCTTGTTTAAAACATTTAATCTAAACTATCTATTCCTGTCCTATGACAAAATTGTACATGTATATTATAAATTATATTAATATTTATTTAATAATTTTTTATTTGTCTTGTAAACTTTCTTTCTTCAATCTAAAACAAAAAAACAAAAATGAAGTGACCAAGAAACACAATGAAAATTATGTATGTTAGAACTGTGACATGTGATTCGAAAAAATGTCTTCATAGAAATAGTAATCATGAAAAATTAATTGGTTTTATTTGTTAACATTGATCGAATTAAGACATTAACACCGTTAGATACCGGCTCAGTGGTCCAGAGGTTAGGCGTTCGCGCGCAAGACCGAAGTTCCTGGGTTCAAATCCTGCGAGATGCAGCACTTGTGGATGTGCACTGCTGATGAGTCCCATACCAGGACGAAATGGCCGTCCAATGCTTCCTGGTTTCTAATGGTGTTCTAACATTGATCGATTCATGATTTCAAAATGTGTAATTTAAAGCATTACTCTTTCTTTTTCTTCCATCCTATTTTAATTCTAAACTTAATTTTTGTTTACATTTTGTCTAGTGATGTGAAATAAATTTTTTAAAAAAAACAGAGGAGGGTGAGAGTTGATATAACCAAACTTTTTCTTAGTCAAAGTAAAATTAAACTGTTTAATTTATTTTATTCTTCACCAATATTTATAATTACTTTCCTTCTTTTCCTTTTTTTTGTTGTTGTTCAACTGTACAACAATAATCTGTAATTAAATTTTATATAATCAAAGAAATAATTACATTTTAATGTGTTTGTTTTTTTTTCCTTATTTCAAACATATTCATATTGACAAAATAATCATTTTGAACTGATTGATTATTTTTAAGCCAATTTCAGTAGTATAAAATTATTTAATTAATTTTTTTCCTCTAACTAATCAATTCAATTCAGTCTGATAATTTAGCTTTTAAAAAAATATATAGATGATTAAAATTTTTAAAATTATAATTTATACTTTTAATATTTATTTATTTGTAACTTCTAGTTTCGTTTATCTAGCTCAAAAATTATTCGATAACATTTTTTAATACAAAATACATTAATTACATTTAGATCTAAATTCATTTCAGTCATCGTTTATATATAAGTAAATTGTATCTGATCAATTTTAGCATATTTGTGATTTTAATTGCCACTTAAATAACCAGGTTGATATCAATAATCATTGTAGTATAATAATATAATCTAAAAACTTTTATGTAATCAAGTTATCTAACACAGTCTACTTCATCAGAAGAGTACACGATTAATTGTTGAGTTCAATTACTGTCATCACCTTATATTTAGTGAGCATTTTCATGTCAATGTTCTTGTTCGTTAGAAGATATATATGTATAATATTTTTCTTTTGCTTATCTGTTTGTTCAAATAGGGTGTTATGTATTTACATCAAATATTTGGTCCACATGGTAATTTGAAAAGTTCCAATTGTTTAGTGGATTCACGTTTTGTATTAAAAATCACTGATTTCGGTCTACCACATATACGTGGTCCACCACCATTAGAATCAGAAGTTGGCAGTTTTATCTTTTATCGAAGTAAGTCTACTAATTTTTAGTATTCTGAGTTAAGTTTTTCTAGTGTTGTAGTTGATCTCGTCTTCTCCTTCCTCTTCTTCTTCTAACAATTTACTTATGTATTTTAATTGTCTTTTTTTCTCTCTCGTTTCTTTGTCAACTCTACCTTTTTTTTTGTTTACACATATTTCTCATATTGTGATTTAAACCAACAGAAAAAGAAACAACATTAATATAAACAGAACAATATTTTCATTAGTTTCTCATTGAATGATTAAATTTTGATACTTGATCTATTCAATTAATAAAATAACATTAACCTTGTTGTATAGTTTTTTTGACATTTGACATTTGGATAAGGTGATAAATTTACTGAGAATGAATAATTTTTTTAAGATTTATTCAGTCAATCAGTTGAACAAAACATAAAATCATGTATATTTTTTGTGCATCTATTCATTTGGTCATAATAGTAATAATAATAATAATATTCACTAGATGAGATAAAATTATCCAGAGAAAATATCAAAATGATAATATTTGTATTACAGTCATAATGATTGATAGAAAACAGTAAGCATATTTAGACAATAGAATTCAAAAAGATCGAATGAATTATTAATGGAATAAAAATTGATAAAATTGATTTATTGGAACTCAGGATTCTGAAATATATTTAGTATATTCAATCAATCAGTCAGTCAGTCAGTCAGTTAGTTAGTTAGTTAGTCAGTTAGTTACAACGTAGAACTTTGTACATGAATGCATAAGTTCAGGTTGCCATTACCGCATCAGCATCAGCACACATATTGAATATATACATATATCACTCAATATCTTCAACTGTGAATTACACAATAAGTCCTATTGACTACAACCAGATATTTTCTGTTAATATTGTTTCAGTCTTAATAGTTAATAAATTCATTCCAAAAAGGTATAAATAAAACTAATCTTTCTTTTTCAAGTAAAAAGAAATTTTTTTCTAAATTAGTAATCATATTTTGATGACAAGTGGACTGAGTCATGTTGGTAGATGTAGACTACCTGGTTGGGGTCCGCGAGACGAAGGTCACCAATGGTTAGAGACCTTGAACGATATGGCTCAAAATCGTTTGCAATGGCGCAAGTGCATCCATTCTTTGAGCTCTCTCAAATCCTAATCTTCTGGATTCGTCAGCACCTCTACCTTTGTCTTTCTAACCTTATCTCACTGAATTATACTCCTAGTCTGAATTATACCCTAGTCTTCTTCATTACCATTAATACCTGTACTATCTCTATCACAATGGGATTTGATTTGACATTTGCGTCTTTGTGCTAATGTGGTATGGCAACATGATCTTATATACAAACGTACGAAGTTCTACGTGGCAACTGACTGACTGACTGATTTTGATGAGTAAAAAGCATATTTAATCAGTGAAAAAGACAAAAAACAATTAAACTATTGATTTACAAACAGAATGAACATTGAACTGGAGTAGGAATTTTAAAGAGAAAAAGAAACTTGAAACTTGTTCCCTAGAAATAATTTAATTATTTTAATTTTCTACTTATTAAATTATGAAACTAATAAAAACCTTATTTTCAATATTACTAGTTTGTATTTGCCTATTCTGTGGTCTCTGTTATACATATGAGATATTGTAGAATATTTATTTGTATAAATTTTATTCAGTGAATTATTGATCAGTTTATTTTCAATTTTATTATTATTATTATTATTTACAAAAATCTTGTTAAAGTTGTTAAACTGTTACTTTGTTCTCATTGTACCGAACCTCACTTCCATTACTTCTACAAGTGAAATGATTTCAAAGGATGAGAGAATAGTTTGATAAAAAATGAATATGTTACTTGAAAAAATATGATAATTGAGTGATTAAGAAAGTGAAAGAGTTTTAATCACATAGCAATCGATTGTATGAAATTTAATTCTACCACATCAACTACATGTTTAATTGACTAAGTTACAGTGTTGACTGTTATATTCATCATCATCCTTCATTTGTATTGTTGGCTCTTCTGTCCGAACTCCTTACAGGTGCACATACATGGTCCCTTACTTGAGGATTGAGCCTAGGACCTCTAGTCTTACGAGAAAACACTTAATCGCTTGACAAGTGATCCAGCATCTGAGAGTGCGCTACCGTTACTAGTATTTTATTTCTGTGATTTGCAAAACAATTTATTCACCATATAATTTCGTATGGAGATCTTAACAGATGCATCCACGTTCATAGCGTAAGTTAAGGCGAGCGCCTAACTCTGAGTCGGAATTCAATAAACCTCATTTCCAGTCCACATCAATAATTGTTTATTACTCTACTTTTAAATGATACCTTTACGAATGTCAGTTCACAACGCATTATTACTTACGTAATTTTTACTCAAATATTAGATAATTTATCCTTTTTATTTATAATAATAATGTTATTTCAATGTTCTTTTTTACTAACTCTGTATAGATTTATTATGGACAGCACCAGAATTATTGCCTAACAGTGATACAACTCTTTATCCACGCGAATCAATAAAGGGCGATGTTTATAGCTTTGCGATTGTATGTCAAGAAATAGTATATCGCAAAGGTGTATTTTATAGACAGAATTTTAAAAATTGTGAACCAGATGTAAGTTTACGTACTTATAGAATTAATATCCCCATGGTTTATGTTAAAATAATTTAATATTCACCTACATGAATTTTTCTCAGTACATGTGAAGTAAAATGATTGATTACTTATTTTATATGCCTTGTCAACCTTGGTTGATTAATGTTTAACAAAATTTCAGCACAAATTCCAAAGGCTGAATAGCGATTTTCTCCAACTTTTATCATTTCTGGTGTAGGCGTGATATTCATTTACTAACTGAAAGATGAGTGTACATTTACTTTTTGTTTACCTGATTGAAAAAAACTCACTTTCATTTTAATTTTTCAAAACTGAAAGTTATTATTGCAATCATGAATCGGTCATTGTTAGACCACTATCAGAAACGTGGAAGTACTGGACTCTACTGATCTTGGCTTTTCACTAGAACTCCAAATATTTCTTTACGAAGCTAATCACCAGTGAGCCAACCCAGTGGTCAACAGGTCAATTTTTCTCGCACGAGACTGAAGGTCCTGGCTTCAACCCCCATTCGTAGGGTCGTGAGTCCCATTCTAGGGCAGAACACAGTAATACATTGATTCATGAAATGTAATTATTTTTCATCTTGACAAACTACAGATTATTAACTTTTGATATTTATACATTTATATCAGTAAACTATTAAAAATATACTGTATGTTTAACGGAAGGAAATATAAGTTGTTTTTCTATTGTGCTTGTAGAGATATTGAATAATGATTAATATGTTTCTACAAGTGTTTTATTGCACAACAGTTTTCGTTAATATTTTCCTTTTTAAACTATTTAAATATTCTTAGTTTTTCAAAGGGACTTTTTTAGATAATGGTTAAGTTTATTCAAATATATCTGGAGTGAAAGAGTTATCACCAAGGTCATTGAATTGTTGTTACGCAGTATCGTGAATTTTTCAAAATTATAACTTTACTACGAGATGCCTTAATCCTTCCGATTACTACCTAAACTTCTACTACCTTTACCACTACGGGATTCGAATAGACAGTTACATATGTGTGTGAATGTGGTATGGTAACTTGAACTGAAATACGTACGTATAAAGTTTTACGTTTTTGCCGACTGACTGAGATTCCGACTCAGTAGTTTTAATGGTGATGCATTTTCAATAAGATCTGAAGGTCGTAACTTTGATTTCTGGGTGAGTCGTAAGTAACCACTGCTGGGGCTCCCCACAGTAGGACAAAATAAATGTCTACTAGCTCCTGACATTGAATGATATATTGATTAAGGTGAATCACTGTCAAACATCAATATTTAGGACAAATAACATTTAAAATGTCTTTAACTAAGATACTGGCTAAAGTAGGTTTGAATCAGATAGGGAATATCAGTTCGATTAAAACTGTAGATTATTCTTGCCGATAAGTGTTGGCTATAATGAAATTTTACTTCAATGGCTTCCTATTACCTTCCTTTGAACATATAACATGAATACCAACGGGAACATTTGAAGTGCATGAACAAAATAGTGACCGTATAGATTATTCAAATCGCTAGATGGTTTTAATTCGTGTGCTATTACATAATTAGTTTCATAAAACCAAACCAATTAATTGATATACCTTTTTCACAGTTTAAGTCATGAACTGATCTTAGCTAGACCATCATTTAAAACCTGTGAACACTAGATGACCGGCTTGTTCGAAATATGGGACTCTTTAAAAACGCGTTTCCACGATCCCAGACCCTTAAACTGAACTCGATAACTGTGATTTTGCATTTGAAATACTAGCCTTTATGTCAGTGGACCAAAATGTCGTGGGTCTGGTTCTCGGTCGTAGATGTGCGCTTCTGAGTATTCCCACACTAAGACAAAATGGCTGTCTAGTGCTTCAGGTTTTTCTTTGGTGATCTAGCCAAGATCTTTTCGTTTTCGAACTAAAAAATCTTCATTTTTCGAAAAACCCCACAAACAAATATATATATATATATATATATATATATATATATATATAATGTTTCTCAATGTCTTTATTGTTACTTTTTTCATTTTAGTATATTGTGAAAGAAGTGAAAGCACATCGGAAACCACCATTTCGACCTACGTTAGATTCATTAGAAGGTTGTTCTGAAGATTTAGTTCAATTAATCTGTCAAGCATGGGATGATGATCCAAGTGTACGACCAGATTTTCAATCAATTAAATTATCTATGAGAAAATTAAACAAGTAAATTTTATTTTTTTTAAACTTTTTTTTTCAAGAAACAATTCGTATATTTAACATATTGTTATTCAAATGTATAATTACCCATATATTCATCATACAATACTGCGTGTCTCAAGTGTTCTTAATCTAATCCCTTTATTTTTTTTACTTATCGAAAGATTCATTTCTCCATTGCAAAATAATCAATAAGACTTAAGATAAACTATTCCAATCAGTACTATAATAATCGATTAATTCTTAATGAAAGCACACCTAAAATTCAACCAGTAGATCGAAGTTTTTTTCACATTTTAACCCGTTTCTGTCTGTTACAGTTTAAATAATTGGATAGTATCATTCATTTTTATATAGTGTACAGTGCAATTTATAAGCTAGTACATATATTGGGAAATAAGTACATAAATTAACTCTCTATGGTCAAGGGCAATTTTCCATTGATTTTCATGAGAACCAAGGAAACTGCCCACTGGTTAGTATTTCGACAAGAACAGTTTGGCTCAATCCTGTGGTGCAGTTATACAGGTACCTGACACTGTGGTGGACTATTCACAACATTTTTATACACTCGTAGATACACAGTGATTATTTCCGATCCATGTTGGCATCAGTCAATATGCATCGCATGAACAGGCCATTTCGGCCCATCCCGCCTACGTGGCTGTCAAACTCATTATTATTAGCATTGGTGATATGTAATACAGCACCCCCATGACAATGGCCCTCGGGAATGTTTTAAAACGACCACCAGTATCAATGAGATCAGTCACCCTGCTAGCCAGTTCTGTATATGGACTGCTAGTAAAACTTGACAAAGCAATGCCAAGCCGTCCCTAATGTTCCCAGCGAACCTCTGGTCTCATAGGAAACCTTCAGCTCTATATAGCTGTATAGCACACGGTACGGATAGCAAGATATGCAGCCCAGTTTGATGTGAATGGGCTCAAACACTCTTATTACCCTTTGTCTCATGTTGGGTAATGATTTTTTCGCATTACCGAAATTTTCATTTTTCGACCATATGAGACCTGAGTTAGGGGTAGTATCCTTACATATACAGCGATCTGATCATTAATTTATATTGTTACTATTATTATTTTCAATGAAATGAGATAAATTTGAATCAGAGTAATTGCTCAATATCTGTTTTTGGTACTTTTCGGAAATTGAAGTTTTCAAATTATTAAATCATGAAACTTATGTCATACTGATAATGTTTAGCAAGTTTTTAATTTGATAAACCAATGCATCATTATTTGATATCCTCATACTTGTAAGCGATTTAATCTATTCAATACAACATGTTAATTGAACTGTAATCTCCTAAACTGTAAATAGTCATTTATCAGCCTTAATGAATAAATTCATAAACTGATTGCCTGTTTCTTGCATAAAGTATGAAAGCGATAATGTTAGGTTCGTCACTAGGTACGCTTGAAACTATTACGGGTTCACCTTAGTCAATAAACGCGAACGAAACAATGAACCAACGTCCAGGTAGGCTACCTTGATCCCAAAACTGCAAAAGAGAAGTCTTGATAAGCGTAGAAAGTATATTCTACAAACACCCAGCAAGCACAATACAATCAAGCATACAAATCTCGTTTATTTATACATCATAGAAACGTCCTTGGGACAGTCACAAAAATAGCACGCCAAAATACACAGCAGCCAATCACAGCCACGGATTTTCCTGGTTGGAAGTGAAATCTCAAGGTCAACTGATCAGCCCATTCTGGCAAACGTGAAATTTAAAATAAGGCATTTATCAAGCGAGTTCTGGGGATATAACGTCCCCAACAGATAATCTAATTTGACTAAAACAATTCCTACTAATTGTTTTGTTGTTTGCATTAATCTGTTTGTCACATTAACTTGGTTGTCGTACAGCATGGGTTTGTATGCTTTGTGATTGTTTATTTCTATTAATTGTCTATTTTATAAAGCTTAAATATACTCTACTCGATCAGATATACTTTACAAAACACGAATGGTGTATATGAGTTGTCCTATTATATATATATATATATATATATATATATATATAGGTCTGTCTGTTCGAATTACATCTTAAACACTGTAAATAGAAGAGAATATATCATTTGATCATCATTTGGTTAAAGCTTACATCCATACATATTATTTATATACCATTTATTTCTCGAACATTTCAATCAGTTAATTGATAATACAACTGTCCAAGTTTTTAATCTGGTATAAATTTGAACTATTCATATTTGTATGTTATGTCATAGCTGTATGAGAATGTACACCAATCACTGAAGTTATCTATTTTTTTTCAAAGAAAAAAAAATAGACTTTCAAATTCTCTAAAATACAAACCAATTAACAAAAATTATACTGCATTGATTGATGCATAAAACATAGTTGTTTGTATTGTTGTGAAGCCTTTCTTTTCTAAAATATTTAATAAATGTATGTTAAAAGATTAAAACATTTTATAGCCAGACAATGTACAAAATGTTATACATTTCTAGACATAATCATAATGATACTAATAATAACAGTAGTAGTAGTAGTAGTCATATACAGTGTATATAAAAATCGTAGTATACGGTGCATTAGTTTCGCATATTTTAAAACTTTTTATTTGTGGCATTTTCTTGTCTACTTTGTTTTTCTGTCTTAAAAAAAGTATTTAGTTTAGTTCCTTTTTTTAAAAACTAAACGATGAAAGATGGGAAGAGTAAAGGCTGTCATTATGTCTGTATTTGTCTCTTAATTGTTATTATAATTTGTAGAATACCATTACTTCTCTACATGCCATCTTTAAAAACACAGAATGAATAAAAAGAATGAAAGTAAAACTAAGACATCACTTTTTATCATTGGTAAAACTAATCATATACATAAATATTTATTGATTTGTTGTAAAATCTCATTTATGCAAAAGTTAACGTTGACAACATCCTCTTGTCTGTTAATGTTATGTAGAGAACGTAGAATGTAGGATTTAATTTGTCCTACAGATGTACTACTAGAACCGTAAACGCAATATTGGCGAGCACAGAGTCTGTAGGAAAGTTATAGTCAAAACAAGACCGATTTGCTTATAAACTTTATCTGTTTCTAAACTTAAAATCTATTAGATTAGTACAACAAATAAGTAAATTACAGTTACCAAGTGAAACAAGCAAACATACCGACCAATATAGCGTGTCTTATAGGAATGAATAAAACTATCAGTCACATCAATAATAATAAGATAATAATGTCCTTCAATTAGGAGGTCATTTACAACAAAGATAGTTTACGGGCACGTCAGACCAGATCACGTGATGAACCATTAAACTACAATTTGATTGGTTAGTTATAGCACAACTACAATTAGTTATGAAAATAACTAACATAGAATAACAATAATAATAATAATAATAATAATAATAATAATCAGTGACCACTTTTTAGGAATAATTGAAATACAACTAAACCTTGAACAGTTGTACAAAAAAACGTATTATTAATTTTGAAAGATAGTCCTTCCTTTACACACAAATTAATATCATTGAATAATCAATAGATTAAATTGTAATTGTGATTCAATTATTTCCTGATGTTTAAATAGAAGAATAAAAACAATTTTCATATTCATTTAATATTTCATTAAGATTTTATTTGTTTTTGTTTTTAGTCATACAACTGATCAAATTAAGAGTAAATAAATAAATTAGTTGATCATATAAATAACATTGAAAATTATTAATCAATAGTGAATTTCTTAGATATGAACAAAGAGATTCCCGCTTGTTTATATATCATTTCTTTTTATCAAAGCCATATTTCGGTTCAAATTATTATGCATGATAATAATAATAATAATAATAATAATAATATTAAACTGAACGATTTCATCATTTAATCGATTATGATATTTCCTATCAACTATTATCTTTTATATACATTCATGTGTGGGTTTGTGTACGGGTTGTAGACTATTTATTGTTATTTGTTTAAATAATATTTTATTATGTAAGGATATTGGTATCTTTCTCCATCGGATTTTCATGTCTTTTATTTTCTTCCCCTTTCTAATTTATTAAAATACAATAAACTGGGAAAAATTATAGTAAATTGAAAACATGAAAAGAAACCATGAACAAAAAAAATAAAACAGAACAGAACAATAAGCATTACACATCATCATCATCATCATCATTGTTTTCCTCTATTTCATATTCGATAACATATTCAGAAATTTGTCTTGAGTAGAAAAGTTTAAAGTAAAACATTGACCATTGAATTATTTGATTGAAACTGCATGATATATTGCCAATGTATTAATATTTAAAGAGAAAGAAAAATAGAAGGGAAAACAAGATGCTACAAATGTAATTATTATATCTATATCTATACTGTTTGTTTATTGACACATATACAAACGAAAATGGATTGTTTTCAAGTGAATACATTTTATAATTTAGTGTTCATTTTCTTGCATGTTTTGAGCGTAAAACATCACTACATATGTTCTGTTTATTCTTAAGAAACTAGGTTCTTTTTTTGCTTAATTTTCCTACTATCATTGTTTCTTATCATTTCATCTATGTTATTTTTGATTGAGATCATTTCTTCTTTTGAAGTGCTGAATTTGAATAAAGCTGGTAATCACTTATGCCAATGCTTACAGTTTTTCGGACTAAGCAATATTACGAAACTGAATAATAATAATAATAATATGTAATACTGAGTATCCGTCTCCGTCGGTAAGGGTGCCCACTAACGGCTTTCAAGAGCGGAGCTAACACTCAAAAAACCCTTCATAAAAAGCCCGTGCATGACCGGCCTCAAGCATTTGTCCCTTGGACTCTGCAGTCATGCTCCCAGGTCGTTAAGACCAACGCTAATATACCTTCCTTTTCTGGTTCCCCAAGAAACAACCTTCCACGGTGTGGGCAGCCGTGAAGTGACAACCGCCCTCATGCCCGTAACAGCACACGAGACCAAATCGGTCAAAATCAAATCCTTCCTAAACCCCCTTATCTCCACAACTGACTGACTGAATACTGAGTATCTATTTGTTTTCAAAATCAAATTGTATTGTAATCATTCATTTATTCTTATGCTTATTAACACTTATTTGTATTTTCAATGGTTATATTAATTTTTGTGTTATGGATGGAAGTTTATCAAATAATTATCCTTGTCTAGTATCTTAATAATTCGTTATTAATAATATAATTATGATAATTTATATGAATTGATTATATCAAGTATTTATTATTAAAAAAAAATTTATAATTTTGTGTCAAATTATATTTACAGAGCAGGAGATAGTAATAATGTTTTGGATAATTTACTTTCTCGTATGGAACAATATGCAAATAATTTAGAAGAATTAGTTGAACAACGTACAGCTCAGTATTTAGAAGAGAAAAAGAAAACAGAAGATTTATTATATTCAATGTTACCAAGGTAAATGTGATTGATTATATGATTTATATACGCTCGTTGATTGGTTTTTTTCTCATAATTTACATTCCTGATTATTAATCTTATTGAAACAACTATTTGAGATTAAGATGTAATGGACAGTGGTTTCAGTCTAGTATAGGACTCCTAGATAGTACATCATATCCATGACCACTGTATCTAGAATCGAAATTAAAGTACCTTTGGGTCTCTCAGAAAGCGCTCAACATTTCGACCACTAACTATGCTGTTACGCTCCTCTCTAGGTATGCTTAAACTATTACGATTTCACCTTAGTCGAATAACGAGAATAAAACAATGAACCAACGTCCAGGTAGGCTACTGAGATCCCTTGACCAAAATGTATCAGCAAGAAGTCTTGATATAGTGTAGAAATTGTATTCTACAAACACTCAGCCAGCACACAATCAATCCAAGCACTCAAATCGCGTTTATTTATACTCACTCTATAGAGACGTCCTTGGGACAGTCACAAAAATAGCACACTAAAATGACACAGTAACCAATGACAGCCAAGGATTTTCCTTGTGGGAAATGTGATCTCAAGGTCAACTGATTAGTCCATGAAATAAATCCAAAATAAAGATATTTATTAAGCGAGCTCTGGGGATCTAACGTCCCCAATATATGCATTCTATGCTAAAGAAAAAATGTCTATCTTTAATTAATTTGTAATATTTTGCATTGTTATTTATGTGCATACCTATGCTTAACATATGATGTCAAGTATGAATGTTTATTAATATAGAAGCCTGGAATGCTTTATTCCGTTATCCTTGATTAGTTAATTAATTAATTAATTAATAATTAATAAAAATCACGCATAACCTAAATATTTGTAATATATTACTAGGAATTTTTGATAAAATTATAATTTGTACATAGCTTTTGAGCGATGCAGATAACATTAAACCTTGAGATATAATTCAACCAACTAACTAGACTAAAAAGAGGATTAAAAATTTATGTGAAGAATTTGAGTTATCGGCTATAGTGTCAAAAATGTTATTTAGCCGTATAGACTAATGAATTTTACGCTAAAATCCATGAAGTTTCTTCATCTTAAGTATGATTGATTAGTTCATAAATTATATACATATATTTCAACTGGAATTTTTCATATAAACAAGATGAGATGGGGGGGAAACACCGTTATTTATATGTATGCTTTTTTTCTCCATGTTTTGTTTTATCGCATCAGATCTGTAGCTAAACAATTATTCCGTAATCAACCGGTAACTGCAGAAAGTTTTGAAATGGTCACTATCTATTTTAGTGATATTGTTGGATTCACATCACTTTCAGCGGAATCTACACCAATGCAGGTATGCATAATATTGATTAATTTTATCAGTTATACTTGTTGTTGTATTTTTAAATTTAAAAATTCAAATTCGATTATTTATTGCGTCTAAGTGAAGATGATTATTTGGATAAGTCAATCCCTCACCACACTTATGAATTACCATAATAAATGTGTACGTATGTGTGTATGTACGTCAGTATAGGTGAATCTGATATTAGTGTTTAGTTTTATATCATCACTTGTTTTGTGTTTTTGTTTCTTGTAGTAAAAGTGTTCTACAATTTTTTGATAGATAATCCTCTTGCATTTCAAACTGATATTAAGTTCCAAGCCATCTAACTATTAATAATAATAATAATAATAATAATAATAATAATAATAACCGTAAATTGGACTAATTATAGAACTGTTGGAATATTTGTATATAAGCTAATATATACATATGTAACTAATTACTTTATCTTTTCTCTACTAAAGATTCTTCATATTCTCTGTGTACATTATAGCAGAAGAAAGTTAGGTGTAAATTATATGAAAACAATGAGAGTATTTTTTTTAAGTGTTGGTTAAACCCTTGACTTGAATTTCATGCTACTCGACACTCATCAGTAAGATGTACCCTTAATCATCAGGGAACTGATGCTCTTTGGTGGATTTGATATCATATCACCTAGGTACAAGGTCGAAGATATTACCACTGAGCTTTCTGGGTTAGAACTGGCTTCTTATAGTTCTGAGATGTACTTACGATTTATTATTCACTGAGTAGGGGAATCAATGTAATGTATGTTAAGTCTTCCTTAGTGTTTGTTGAAATCTGTCAATCCAGAATTTTATTAATTGTTTATCTAAATGATTACATCATATTTGAGACAGTTATTCATTAGATTATAGTCCGACTATCCATCATTAACTGACCGAAGTAATAATAATGCTTGTATGAATCAAGTGCAACTCAGTAGGTTATGAATAGCACTTTGTTTATCAAGTAATCTTAAGTTATTGTAAGTTTGATCCCTGGAATAGAATCTTGCTTGTGGATTGGTAATAAATTCTAATTTATGTCAATCGATAATGAAGACTCAATTGATGAATATGTTTTTTTCTATACTGAGATCCAATAATCAATGATTTTAGGCGGCCTGCTTGAATATTTCGGCTCCCTGTTTCCCTAAAATCAACATATTTCAATAAGTTATCTCTTTTAGTTTGTTTTAACAAATCAGGTATTGTCTATTAATCGCATAATCTATTCAAGTGCGTATATAAAAAGTTGTGAGCTGCCGTTTCACGGTCTGGAAAAAGTACGATCAGAGAAATCGCGATGACTGGTAGCCTTCTGAGAAAAGAATGAAGGTCGACCATTGAACTGCTTACTTCAAACTTTGAGATGGTCGAGAAAATTTGTTGCTCAGGTGAATGATTGTAGCGGTGTTTCGTTCTCTGAGTTGGATGTTTTGGTTGTGAAGCTTTCATTGTTCTTCTGATCAATATCATCAACACAAACTTCGAATAGAAGTGAAGTATTCGAATTTCTCCACGTTTGACCCGTAGCTTGTTCTGTTAACCTCGATCTTGATTGGTTGCTGTTAACCTTCAACCTGTCGTTGTTTGCGTCTTTATTTTGATTGTATCCCCCTCTGATCTGTGTCTTGATTCTATGTCGTCTACGATTTTTCTGATTGGTTGATAAATTCGGTCAATATCGATGTGTTTGTTGAATGCTGATTGACCTGAGTGCCAAGCTTCTAAAAATCCTCCAGTGTTCTTTGTCCTCCTCCTATCCAGTATCTCAACATTGTTTCAATTGAATGTATGTCCATAAATGTCGGTGTGTATAAGCGAAGAATTGTCTCGGCGTTTGACTGCTAATTGATGTTCACGCAGACGAAGCTGAAGCGGACGTCCACTTTGTCCGATGTAGCGTTTTACTTCTTTATAATTTTGCCCTTTGGTTTACATAGGATTGATTAAAGTGATTCTCTTGGTTTATATGCTAAACTATTCCAATTGGCTTCAGTAATCGCATTGCAATTAGTGATATATCTTTTATATATGGCAGGATAATCCTTTAGTTAGTTCCGGTACGTGATTTCGCTTCTAATAAAGGTTTAGATCGATATTTTTTGATGAGCTTGTGTGGATTGGCATTTTTCTAAGAGATTGTCGTCAGTTATTTTACTTCGGTTTTTGTGCTTCATGTGTGCTGTAGTGTGTTTTTGCTCTCGTGAATACAGTTTGTAAGCACTTGATTTTGTTTCTGGTTTGTTGCTACTTTAGTTGAGAATCAGCCCTGTATGAGTTGGCTTCTGATATACTTGAGTTTCAGTCCCGGTCGCCAATGAACCCAACACCATCTTAATTATTTGACTAATTTTTTGAGCTTTCTGTTTTACTACTTGTAAGTAGTAAGAATCAACGTGTAAAATACTTAAGATCATCGGCTTATAGAATGAGTTCAGTCCAGTTTAGTTATGCTTAATGTGAAATTATTGTTAAATCCATTCTATGAAATATTACATTTGTAGACCTAGATGTTACTGGGTGTGGTAGATAGGCTACAGTATAAAATCTTTTAGTTATATGATTGTTTTTCCATAGTTATGAATCATGTGTAGAGAATGAATCATTATGAATTTCAAGTAGAACTTGAAATACTTGCCTCACTAAGTTATTTCTGTATTCATATCACATACCATTGGTTAATAGGACTATAGTTTTATTAAGTTTGTTCCCCTTGACCGGCAAATATTTTGTTGAAGTATATTTGTTGAATTGGTTATGAATACTTAAATAACAGGTCGTTTCTAGCTTTCCTTTATCTTATTACTCACACTTGTTTTCAATTTGCTTTTTATGTATTCAGACAATAAAACATTGATGATTACTTTAATTGTTAGTTTTATTGAACTATATCAATTGAAGAGTTTAGTTTAATCGCTTACCCCACAAACCATACATCGAAAAACCTTTGTGCAATATATTGCTTTCCAACAAGGCATATCTAAAATACCTTCAAATAAAAAATTCAACTTAAATAGCACTGCTTATAAGCATCGAAAATATTGATGCAAATTATCTTTTCAATAACTAATAAATGTGTAAAATCGAATTTTATTTTAGTTGAACCATTAATATAGTTTTGTGAATATTGTTACTGGTAATAATATGCAGTATACAGTGTTTAATAACTTTATCTAAATTTATCTACATATTATGTATGATTATTAATAATTCATTGTGAAATAGGTTGTAGAATTATTAAATCGATTATATACATTATTCGATGGAATCATTGAAAATTTCGATGCATATAAAGTTGAAACAATTGGTGATGCATATATGGTTGCTTCTGGTTTACCACAACGTAATGGTAATAAACATGCACGTGAAGTAGCTCGTATGTCTATTGCATTTTTAAAAGCAATTTTTGAATTTCAAATTCCTCATCGACCTGAAAAACGTTTAGAATTAAGAATTGGTATACATTCAGGTGAGTGAGTGAATGAATAGTTCATTTTTATTGTTCAACACATTTTGCAGAAATACACTTATAATACTATTTTTACTGTGTAAATAATTTGTCGGAGTTGATTTTAGCGTAACAAGCAACCTTGAAATTAAATTATTTCTTTCAAACAGTAAACCTTGACTATATCGTTATTTTTTGTGTAGGTAATTATCATATTTGTACTCTTAAATCTATTGTAATCCGATTAAAAGATGAAATTCACTGTCTATTTGACTGACTAAAATCGCTTAATGTCTCTAATTTGACCAATCACACGAACTAACTAGCATTAATAACCTCTAGTTAAGTACTAAGTCCTTATTGATTACAACTCGATAAATTCTCTTTAACTGACCTGTCAGACCATATCATACTATAAATGAAAAAAGAAACAACAATTATCCCCTTAATCAAATCCAAAGTGTCTATGAGTAAGTAAAGCTAAATAATAACTGGCAAAAGATTTAAGAATTGCAAATTTCACACAAGTGTAGTTAATGAATTAAATGAGAACTCATCATGAAAGAAAAATATATACACTGTAATCGATTTACTTAATAGTTATGCCATCAAAATATGTGTATAATAATCCATAATAATTAGGCTTTGAGTTAATGTAAGATATGAAAGAAGAAAATTATATTCGTAAATCTCAGCGATTGAATTTTACATGTCTAGATTACTTAGCGAAATGTTGGATATTTACTTAAGGTTTAATCTGTGAGATTGACAAATAGAATTTTCTTTTTTTTTCATATTTTATTGATTTTTTACTTTTAGCTGTTGTCTTGAGTTCATCTATCATTTTTCTTCAATAATAAATATCCATACTATAAAATTGAACTATAAATATATTTCTTACTTTGTATACTAGTCTAATTCAATGATTGATTCTTCTTGTTTTGTTTTTCCTAAATAACTCTATACAAAATGAAGTTGTATAAACTGATTTGTTTTTACTATAAAAACAATATGTCAGATAAAGTATCACGATAGATTAAGCAACATTCAGGATAGTTGTTCGCGAATCATATGGATAAAAAAAGATTCAGGTTCGTCCTTTCAGTCAGTCAGTCAGTCAGTTACAACGTAGAACTTCGTACATGAGTACATAAACTCAGTTCAAATCCCATAGTGGAAGAGATAGCAGAAGTATTACTGGTAATGGAGAAGATTAGAGTTCGTAAATATTATTCAAGAAGCATAGTTCAGTGAGTTAACTTTAAAAAGGAGAAGGATAGAGATGATAAGGAATTCAGAAGATTAGAATTTGAGAGAACATAATGAATGAATGTACGTGCACCCGGTGTTAGACATTGAATGGACAATATTGAGCAATTATCAGCTATGAATAAAGCAGTGTATCCAATACTTTCAAATTTTCAATGTTTTCTTATCCAAATAAATATTACCACCCATTGTTCTATTTGATAGTTCAAAATATTCGGTTTAACCATTTGTAATAATAAAATAAAATATTTAAATGAATAGAAACCTGAATGTCCAAAATTTCATAGTTTACTAACTATAAGTTGTTGCTTCTTTGAAGAATAAGTAATTAAATCTGATAGTACAATTAAATAAATCTGTTATGCTATTTACATCCCAATGGGGATTTAGTAGAATGCAAAATTGAATTTTCTTACAACACTATGGAAATATTATAAATAGATTATACAAATAGTTTCATATTTAATCGGTATGTTCCTAGAAGCAGATTTCATTTTAACATTTGTGTGTTGAAATAGTTTATTGTAAAGTTAGCTGTAGATATTATAAAATAGTTTTATGAATATCATCTCTCCATCTACCCATATTTGTTCGACAGTGATTTGTTGACCAACTTCATAGTATTCTTAACTGTCTTTTTCCATATGTCTTCTGTTCCTCAAGACTTTCTGGTCTCGCTATACAGCCGGATACAACACTTTTCTCTTCAGTCGTAACTTCAGGGCGACACTCTACTGCAAATACACTGCATACTACTTATAAGCCTCATTGTAAGTAGTACACACCATACTACTACTACTATTACTCATAATTTACTTATTTCATTCTTTTTATAATTTCTCTTTTCTAGCTTGGTCTTTTTTTAAATCTTTATTGTTGTTTCCTTTCCCTATGACTAACTGTGTATGTGTTTCTGTGAATCCAGGTCCAGTATGTGCTGGAGTTGTTGGACAGAAAATGCCACGTTATTGTCTTTTTGGTGATACAGTCAATACTTCTTCAAGAATGGAAAGTAATGGTTTGCGTAAGTTTGTTTCTTTTTTTTCACAGAAAGTTTCTTAGTCATCTTTTCAAATAACAATAATTAAATTAATAACATTAAGATTGTAGTTTATTAACTCGATTAATAGAAATGTATCATGTACAGGTATACAAAATCGTTAATAATCAATCTATTTAAGTTGCATATATTTACATAGTTGAAAGAACGTTTTCACTACAAACTATTATCATTCAGAAAAAATCAGTTTGATATTTGTTAGCAGACTCTTAGTTAGAATGAATCTTCACTAATGTCTCTCTCTCTCTCTATCATAGTAGATAGATAATATTTTGATAAGAGTAATAATTTTACATGTCATTACCATTCAAATAAGAAATTAATTAAATTTAATAAGTTAGGTAATGAATTCTAATTTAAATGTCATGAAAAAAGGGATGAGATTTTTTAACAGGATAAGTGTAATGCGTGTCTAGTAAAAGTGAAGCATATATATATATATATATATATATATATATATATATATAGAGAGAGAGAGAGAGAGAGAGAGAGCATTATCAAACACATTTTTTCTAAACATTCACTTAGTTGTTGAGTATTGTATACAGGAGAATAAATTTCATCGAAACTGTCATTTCAAACTCTTGTACAATAAATCAACTTCTCAGCATCGGTTATGCAATATAACTACAAATAACTTTTTAACATATTATTAAAAATTAATTATTTTAGAAAATATTTTCACTATAGAGTTGTAAAGATTGTAAGGTTTCATTGAAATCATGACTCGATCATTGTTAGACCAACATTAGAAAAACCTGGAAGCATTGGACGGTCGGTCGTTTTGTCCGAATGTAAGACTCATCATTAGTTCGAATCTATATTTTCAACAGTCACTATTTTCCACTTGTATTCAATTATTAAGTTTTCCTACCAGTTTAGTTATTACAATCAAATTTTCTCTACATCATACACAATATGTTTACATTTCAATATGTCAGTCTTTTGTTACTTTTATTTTAAACAATAAATAGAAAGGATAATATTCTAATCACCTTAATGTTTCTGCTTAAATAAACTAGTCTGTGTTTATAAATCATTGTCAACTACTACTATCTGTATGCCTTCATATATGAGTAATATGATGAAAATTTCACTTTTTCAAAAATAAATTATTCATGATATGTTTCTTCTTTTTTTTTTATTATAAATAATTTTTTTTTGTAGCTTTAAAAATTCATATCAGTCAACAAACATTTGATGTATTGAAAACATTCAAATCATTTATTATGACTGAACGTGGTTTAGTTGAAATGAAAGTGAGTAACGTTATTATTATGATTCAATAAATTTTTTTTGATCTCTTTCTCTCTTTCTGTCTATTGAAATGACTGAATTCGTTCATTTATTCTCAAATGACTGAATAATTGAGACGTATGTGAATTCAAAACTGATTCGTATACTAAGTGAACAAGAGAATAATTAACTAATTCACTCAATTTGTATTATTAAACAATAAAACAGAATATTTGTTGCAATAATTTTTATTAATCATTGTTGAAAATAAAAACTGAACAATGTCAACAATGATTTATTTTAATAATTATTATTATTACTCTTTATTGTCGTATCGATTATTCATAGTTAACGTTGGTAATAGCAAATAGAAAATATAAGATTTAACTAGTTCTGCTCATTGTATTTAGTAATAATCAAAAAATTCAACCTATTTCACTGAATTACGGGGTTGTAAAGATTACTACGTTACACATTTTTGAAACCATGAATCTATCAATCTTAGACCACCATTAGAAACCTGGAAGTACTGGATGGCCGTTTCGTCCTGGTAATGGACTCATCAATGGCAGTGCGCATCCACGACTCCTGCACCCCACAGGATTCGAACCCGGGACCTTCGGTGTTGTGCGCGAACGCCTAACCTCTGGACCACTGAGCTGGTATCTAACGGTTTTAGTGTCTAACTTTATCAATTCTTCACGGAGTTGCGCAACCTCATACACAGTCTACGCCAGTTACTGTCTACATCCGAACAGGTTGAACTTCACTGGTCACGACTTCCCACTAGAACTCGGAGAAGATTCCTCACGAAGCTAGTCACTAGTGAGCACAGGTAATTTATATTACGGGATTGGCCCAGAGGTTAGGCGTTCGGGCACAATACCGAAGGTCCTGGGCTCGGATCTTGGGGGATCAGGAGTCGTGGATGCGCACTACTGATGAGTCCCATACCAGGACGAGACGGCCGTCTGGTGCTTCCAGGTTTCTAATGGTGATCTAACATTGACAAATTCATGGTTTGAAAAATATTTCACTGTGATGATTGATTATGAATATGTAAACTTGCATAGTATTCAAATCATCGATTTACTTGATATTATTTAACAGAAATTGTTATCGAATTCATTCAAACAGTATAGTATAATGATATCTGTTCAGTATGTTAGATCACCAGAAGTCACTTGATAAATGTTTTGGCGCATGGGTTTATCAGTTGACCTTGAGATTACGGACAGTCTTTAACTGTTATTGGTTGATGTATTGTTTTAGTACGCTATTTTGTGGCTCTCTCAAGGACGTTTCTATGATTTATAAATAAACTCGATTGTGTGCTTGAAAATCTCATATTTTCTGGGTGCATGTAGAATACACTTTCTTGTCAAGACTTCTTCATCTACTTAGTGGGGTCTTCGGACTCTCGGATTAGAGTAGTCAATCGTGTCACTGGATTATTTGTCTTCGTTCTCATTTACTGACTAAGGTGAACTTGTAATAGTTCAAGTATATCAACGGGTGACGAGCATAACAATATCATCAATTATTAATGAATTATTTATCATTACACATATACACTTGTTCACTATTTCTTATAACATTAAAAAAAATTCTAAGCAGTTGTATTTTATTTTTAATTTGATTTCAAATCATATTCAGAACTAAGTGTTATTTCAATGTTTTGTTTTAATTCATTAATATATATATATATATATATATATATATATTCTGTATGTATGTATATAGGGTAAAGGTCGTCAAAAAACTTATTGGTTACATGGTGAAGATTGTTATATTGTTGATCCTATTCCACCCGGTGCACAAATAGTTGGTGGAACTTATGAAGGTGTAACAGGACCAATTCCTGCCGGTGCATTAACACATAAAGGAAATGTTAATTTTAATCAATCACCAGAACATGTATGTAATAATACACAATTGATAACTTCTCATCCACCTACATCTATTCATCTTATTCAAGATAATAATAAAGAAACTAATATTGTTGATAATTCAATTCGACGTAAATCGTATAGTTCACCTGCATCGCCAACATTTATTTCACAATCTCTATTAGGTAGTAGTAATAAAATCATTAATGATAATACTAACAATAATGCTATTGTAGCTGACAGTGACGATCATCATCATCATCATCAGCAGGAGCAGCATCAGTATCATCCTCAACAACATCTACTACAACAATCTAAATCTGCTGTTGGATCCAATGAAAAAGTTTCAGTGAAGATTACCGACCCTTGTTATCCGAGTAATGATAATAATACTAATACCACTACAACTACTACTATTACTACTACTACTACTGCCAATAATAATAGTAATAATAATAATAATAATAATAATAATGCTGATAGTGAATTAACCAATTCAAATAAACGACGAGTTGCTGTTTGTTTATTAAATGAAAATCAAGTAATTTACAATGTACCAGGTAGTAGTAGTTACAGTAGTGGTAGTAATCTTGATAATAATTCACAACAGATTAATGAAAAAGTTTAAATTGAACAAAATGAATAAAATTCATCAAATTATTCATTGAAAAAATGATTTCATATTTCAATATCTACTACAGATACATAATATCTCAATCAATGATTGATAACATTTGCTTATAAAGTGTTTGTGTTATCAAGAGATTTTAGTGATATTTCAAATAATTTATTGTGTTTTATGTATGTATGTGTGTATGTGTGTGTGTGTGAATGGTCCAAGTAATGAAACAATTCAATGCATCTATACTTACTATCTCATATTTTTTATGTATAATGAATTTTGCTCAAATAGTGCTTTCGATATGATCTCACAAAATTATTGGTGCCTAACAATAACAACAATCTTATGCATCTTATCCTCTGTACCTTTGTGTCATCTTCATTATTATTATTATTAGTAATATTTACGTACATAATGTACATTTCAGTGTCTCTCTATTATGTATTTTGGAAACTTTAAGTGTGTGTGTGTGTATGTGTGTCTGTATACCACCAGTGTAAATCTATTCATCTACCTATTTGTATGTTGTGCATGTTTGTGTATTGTGAATATGAAATTTAGTCTTGCCTATTTATTTTTTTTAGTATACATCTCTTTGTATGATTTTGATGTGCGTGTGTGTGTGTGTGTATATTAGTATGTATGCGTATGCATGTAAAGTCTATGAGAATTTGAATTTGTTTATCATGAACACATACACATATTGAGTGAATTAGATATTTTGAGTGATACAATTTGTTTATTATATATATATATATATATATATATATATATATATATATATATAAGTAACATCTTATTCAACTAATCTCCAATGTACAATTGTTTCAGTGTGCTTTTTTTAAAATGAATAAATGTTTTTTTTTTCTCTCAATCAAACTGCTATTCAATTAGTTCAATTAGTTATTTCATGAAAGAAGAATAAGCTTATACTGTACACACATGAAACTATACTGTCTTTCATTATTTCTTATCATGTTTATATACATATATATACATACTTGTCTGTGTGTGTGTGTGCGTGTGCGTGTTTATTTTTCTTCCAATTTGTTTATTTTATTACAAATTTTTTTTGGGCATTCCTTAAAAATATTTCTTTCTGTTTATCTAAGTTTCTTTTTTTTTGAGATTTACTTTTGTCACCAGCCGGTTCATTGAGAGACAGAGAAAACCACATCTTCAGCTCATTCCCAATTAGTTAAATTTTGAATTCGTTGAAAAACAAAAAAATAGAATCATCATTGTTAGTTGTTAGAGTAAGAAATGTTTGACTAGTTTGCCTCAATATATATGTATATATATATATATATATATATATATATATATATATATCTTGATGTATTTATATACATTTGATGTGTATAAAATATGTATACAACTATTGAAAGATTAAAATGTTTATTGAATAGTAGTTCGGCTTTCATGTTTTGATCACTGCTGATATAAATATCTTGTAAATTATCTTCTATATATATATATGTTTATCAAAATTGTATAAACTAAGGGGATTTAACGAGCTGTCAATATGAATAAGAAAACACAATACACAAATACACCATAAAATTCTCTCATTGTTCCTTTCTTTCTTATTTTTTGCCTGTTTGTTTATGTTTTTGTAAAAAAAAATGAAAAAAAAGCAACATTCATTAGCCCATGATCAACCACCACCAGCATCAACAACACCACCATCACCACAACAACAACAGTAACGGGTGATCTCTTGACAACACAACAATATAAAGTTCTAAAAGAAAAAAATTTCGTGCAACCTTTATTTTCTATTCCATCTAATAGATAAGAATTAATTATAAAGAAAATCAATAATTTTTTTGTGTATAGACAATTCAATTTGATTAGAATTATGTCATTTGTCATTTCATTTTTTTGTTTTACTTTACTGTTATTTTTCATACTCACTATTTTCACAATGAATTGAATAATTGTGGATTGTTGAATAGAAAAAATCAGTACACTTATTGTATTATAATAGTTATTTATTCTGTTTTTCCAATTCTTCACTTCTATTATTATCATCTTCAACTCACTTCTCATTATTACTACAAACTTTGTCTATTTTCTAAAAAGAACAATTCAGAAAGGATACCTTTTTTTTATCATTGTTGTTTATTAAGCCTAATTGTTTATACTCTCTTTTCTTAAATGTGGTTTTGTTTCTCAGCCTGGTTTTTGTTTTTGTTTTTGTTTTTGCTTGATGTTTCCTTTATTTGTATTTTTCATTGTATTTTTGCAAACCAACTACAGTTATCATAGTTGTAACAAATTTCATTTTAGCTTATCATGTTAAATATTGTTTGATTTCTTCTAATCTATGGGGATCGGTGTATATATATATATATATATATATATATATATATATATATATAGGGTATTATTATGTATGAGAGAAAAGAAAACAACTGAAATTTGAAATAAACATTCAATGAATGAATTAAATACTAGTGAATGATTAGTTTCATTTATCTTCATTGGTTATCATTGCTGAAGTTTGATTTTTTTTTTTTTCTTTCTTAAAAATCAATTAATGTTGTTGTTTGTGTTATTCTTGTTGTCTTGTCACATTGTCTTCGATATTTCATCTTTTTTTTTTCTTTCACACCAGAAATGTTTTTGTGTATAATAGTTCTCTGTTTATTTCTACAAACATTTATTTCTTTCAAGTTTATATGTTGTTTTATTTCTTGTTTATTTACTGCTTGTTAATACATTCATCCATACGCTGGCTATATATATATATATATATATATATATATTACTATATCCACATTGTTATACTTAACTATAGTGAATTAAAGATTATGTAAATTAGACTGATAATTCATATTCCTATTATTATTATTATTCTCCTCTTCTTTAACTTGTCTTCAAAACATACATGAATTACTATTTTCGTTATTTCAGTCTTTTTTTCTTCTCTATTATTCTTAACATCATGTTAATCTTGTGAAAATCTTTTTCAAGCTTACTAATGATGATGAATATATACACACAGTGTACTTGTAGAGTACATGTACAGTTTCTTATATGTATGTATATATGTGTAAGTGTGTATGTGTATACTGCATTACAATTTTTTTGTTTTTAAAACGAAAAATGAAAAACAATTACTAAAACAAAGTTAATAATATAAGTTCAATGTGTGAATTTGTGAATGTACTCATCAAACAAACAAACAAGATAGATAGATAGATAGATAGATATTTATGAATGGTATTTAGAAAAAATTCACACGGATTGTATTTGTATAATGAATTTCTTTTTCTTTATTCTCCTTCTCTTTTTCTTTTTATTTTTCGTTTTTTTCTCGAAAATGAGAACTTTACACAAACTATCAATTTATAAAATAATTTTCACTATTATTACAGTTCATGTTATTATTCTTTTTTCGCTTTTTTTTTGTTTTCTAAATAAAAATAAAACTTATGAGTTAACAAACAATATTATTCATAATAATAATAATAACAGTTAATATGTTGGATTGTTAGCCTTCTATTCTTTTCAATTTAATATACATTTTTTTTGGAAGGGTCTCAATTTTAGTGGAAAGTTCAACTTCTTGAATTCGAAATTATTGAACAGACTAATTTACTGAAATGTTTATCATAACAATAACGAAATTTTTGTCTAGTTACTTGTAAGTAGTGACGACAGTTAGTTTTCGAAAGTACTAGTCATTTCTTCACCATACTAACACCATTTTGATCCAACAATGTGTGTTTATTTGAAATGAAGCAAAAAGAAAATAGCTTTCCAAATCTCTTTGTGCAATCTTCATACGTATTCATGTTGGATTCAATCTCGTTACTAATATATATTGAATAAACCAATCTCTTAACTGTCGAATACAGAGTTATGAGCTGAACGAAAGTCAAAACTGCTAAACAGTGCTAATACAACTTTAATCAGTTCCAAAATTGTAAAATTATACAGTTTATTGCATGAATAAGATCAATGCAGTGTGATTAGAGAAAAGGGATATACTAAAAACAAAAATTGTACACACTGATTAGTGCTTAAATGGAATAACGAGTGAATGCATCTCAATTTAGTCAAGTTAGTTTAGTTAATTGGTAGATGTAAGAAAAAATAAACAGTCTGAGAAAAAAAGCCGATTTTAATTGATTAGTGTTTAACGTTTGTATATTTGATCAATTCATTCTTATTGATTGTGACCAGCATTTACATTCTGCACATATTGAGACAAATTTACAGTTAAGGTTTTAACACTAACTTATCTCGTGTAAACAATAAAAATAAAGAATTGTTTGTGTAGATGGAAATCTTTTTAAAATTAGTAAGTTAACAACGCATAATTATGTAAGTAGAGTAAGATAATCACAAGGTTAAATAAAATGAAGTGATATCAGAAAAAATAAAATAAGACACACCGATAAGACGTACTTCTGAGATTACTAACTTAATTACGCCTGTTACCCCCAATGCAGCACAGGCCGCCCACCAGTTTTCTCCAACCAACTCTGTCCTGGGCTTCCTTTTCCAATTCTGTCCGATTTTTGTTCATTTTCCTTATATCTTTCTTGATCTCTAAGCGTAATATGTTCTTTGGCCTTCCTCTTTTCCTTTTACTTTGAGGGTTCCTAGTTAAGGCTTATCTTGTGAATGAGTTCGGTGCTTTCCGCAGTGTGTCCTATCCACTTGCAGCTCTTCTTCCTGATTTCCTCCTCCTTTGGAATCGGATTTGTTTTCTCCCACAGTCTGTTGTTTCTGATGATGTCTGGGCAAAAAATCCGAAGTATTTTGCCTAGACAACTGTTAATAAACACTTGTATCATATGGATAATGGCTTTCGTCGTTTTCCAAGTTTCCGCTCCATACAGTAGAACTGTCTTGACATTTGTATTGAAAATTATGATTTTGGTTGAAAGTTGTTTGGAGCTCTAGATGTTCAATTGTAGTAATGTAGCCCTTGTTTTGCCAATCCGCGCCCTCACATCTACATCGGATCCATCTTGATTGTCGATGACGCTGCCCAGATAAGGAAAGATTTTAACGATCTTCAAGGCATCTCCATCAAGAGAGATTTGGTTGGCTAATGTATTGTATCGAAGAATATTGTTTTTCCCTTTGTGTATGTTAAGACATGCTGTTACTGAGGCTGCTGCTACGCTGGTCATCTTCTTTTTCAATTGTTGTTGCGTGTTAGATAGAAGAGCCAGATCATCTGAGAAGTTCAAATTGTCCATCTGCATCCTGGCCGTCCACTGGGTACCGTGCTTTCCTCCAGTTGTTGACGTCTTCATAATCCAGTCGATCACCAGGAGAAAGAGAAAGGGTGAGAGTAAGCAACCTTCCCTGACACTAGTCTTCACCTCAAACGAGTTTGTCAGCTGACCTCCGTGCACGATTTTGCAGTTTAATCCATCATAAGGATTGTGTATGATGTTGACTATGTTCTCAGGCACGCCGTAGTGTCGAAGAAGCCTCCACAATGTTTTCCTGTCCAAGCTATCGAATGCTTTCTCGTAGTCGATGAAGTTGATGTAGAGTGGTGAGTTCCATTCAATTGATTGTTCCACAATGATCCGTAATGTAGCGATTTGGTCAGTACACGATCGATCCTTACAAAATCCAGCCTGTTGGTCTCGAAGTCAGGCGTCTACGAAGTCCTTCATTCTGTTTAACAATACTCTGTTGAAGACTTTGCCTGGTATTGAAAGAAGAGTGATGCCTCTGTAGTTTTCACACTTGCTGAGATCGCCTTTCTTTGGTATTTTGATCAGTTATCCTTCTTTCCAATCTGATGGTACTTGTTCCTCATCCCAAATCTTCTTGAAGAGAATGTGAAATATTTTTGCAGTTGCTTCCACGTCTGCTCTCATTGCCTCTGCTAGAATGTTGTCTGGTTCTGCTGCTCTGCCGCTGTTGATTTGTCTGATGGCCATGCTGATCTCTTCTAATGTTGGTGCGCCAACATCGATTGGGAGGTCCGTGGATGCTGCTTCGATGTTGGGTGGATTTAGTGGGGCTGGTCGATTCAAGAGTTCCTCAAAGTGCTCTACCCACCTGTTTTGCTGTACATCAATGTTGCTGATTACATTGCCTTACTTGTTTTTCACTAGTCGTCCTGGTTTGTTGTATCGTTCAGTTGTCTTAAGTTTCCTTCTCTTGCAGCCTTTTTCGCCGTCGTTGCTAGGTCTTCTGAGAGAGTGGAGAAAATTTGTAGCTCAAGTGGATGATTGTGGTGGAGTTTTCATCGTATTTCTGAACAACATCACCAGCAACAAATTCAGACAGAAGTGGAGTATTCGAATTTCTCCACGTATGTCCCGTAGCTTGTTCTGTTAACCTCAATCTTGACTGTTTGCTATTGACCTTTAACCTGTCGTTCTTTGCATCTTTATTTTGATTGTATCCCCCTCTGATCTGTTTCTTGATCTCATGTTTGCCTGTGATATTTTCTGATTGGTTGATAAATTTGGTCAATGTCGATGTGTTTGTTGATTGCTGTACTTTTTACACACAATATGTCAGAATGTACAAGTGAACTAGTACAGATGGGACACTTATAACAAACAGTCACTGAGTCTAGGTGCAAAATACAGATACAGTTGACCAACGACTGCAAAATATAAAGTTGGAAATTCTTTATAAAATGTTTCTGTCGAATAATACTGCAGAAAAAGAAACTGGTAACTAGATCCAGTAGAACAGAGGAATAGTACGTTCCTAAGCGAGGTTTAAGTAAGACCTGGATAGTCTGTGTTACAGTTTGTTTCGTACAAATATTCCAGGTATTCTAACAAGAACAAAGTCATAACACATCAATTTTAAGATGATGTTGACAAAGAAACAATCAATAAACGCTGAAGATTATTTCCGTACAGTAAAGAAAAGTTTGTCAGAACCACATCTGAAAAACTAATTTCTGTGATAGATTCCTGAATATCTCTTGACGCGTTATTTTTGGATTCATTAACAGCTTTGACATTTATTCAAAAAGTTTACAAGATATCTGAATTCTCATAGAAGTAGTACGTCAATATATACCTTGAAATACAACTCTTACAGTCTTTTTCTTTTTATGGAGTTCGTTCATCTGATTTTTGAAATCCATCAATCTATCATCACTAGCGTTTAGTTTACTAAGGCTTTCAAATCCTATTAGTTTAGTACTAACAGTAAACATCACCTCTGTAATGTTTAAGAGTGAAATTTTTAGTTATAGCAACTAATCAATAATATTTTTTGTTATAATCTATACCAATAAAAGAACAGGAAATAATGAACTAGGTGTCCTAATGCAAATGGAATCAAGACATAAAAATTTACATCTGAACCATTAGTTTGAATTTGAAAAAAAAATTTAAGATGAATAAGTTTATTTAATTGGATTAAGTGAGTACAATCTGTCACCTGATTCACACTTTTTATTAGTGCCTATATTACCTATCAAAAACGTCAAAAATTAGAAATCAATAATATTTAGTATGAGATACATCAATTAGGTGCATAAAATTGTATTTGTTTATGAAAAATATTCATTTAAACAATGTCTCAGAGTAAGTTGTTAACTGTCTATTGAATTTCGAAAAAGCGCATTAATTGTAATAGTGTGTAACTTAAGGAAACTTTAATACAAATGAATTATAATAATTCAAGTGTTGACAGGAATTTAAATCATCCCATTTGGCTTGATAGTCAGAAATGTACAAATTATACATCCACTTCAAAAATGAAGTAAGTACACTTGTGGATATCTTTTTTTTTCATAACTTCATGATTAAAGATGATACTTTTGTTTACATGATTGCTATAAACTAAATTCATTGTAATATCATGTAGATTACTTTATAGTACATACTAAATATGGAGGAGAAATGTTAGTCATTTTATGTAAAACTGACTAACCCCAAGATAGTATGTACAATCTTCGACTTACACTAAAAAGAACTCATACTAATATAAAACTATTCGATCAGATCTATTATCTGTTTTTTTTCACTTACAACTATTTCTAGTTGTGTAGAAGATGGCTGATAACTACTCACTCTCAAATTAAGTACACTTGACAGAAAATGAGATCAGTTTGAATTAGAGTAAATTTCAAAACATATCAACGAATACAAGTTGGAAAGTCTAGTTAGTTATCTATCAGCCTAACCGTAAATAACTTTGATGAACCGGACAGTAGTGTACATCTAATCCGAACCAATTAAAAATGACTTTGAGAATTAGCTACTTAATTATCTATGTATCTATAAAAATTGAAATCTATAATTATATCATATGTCAGAAGTAAGGATTAGTTTATGGATTGGTCATTTAAGTGTAATCATTATCGTTCTCTGTCTAGTCTACATAGTAATGAAGCCATCACATTAAGTGGGTTTAAATCACGTTTTTATGAAAATAATGCTTCTGACTGATAGTCTTCATCAATCCAACTGTAAATAGGTATAATTAAATGATAGTGTTGCAGGAAACAGTATTTTATACGAATTTTTTAAAAATTAAATTTGTTTAAATTTTATTAGATATCCGTGATTAAGTATGGTATGTTTCATTGAAATCATAAACTGAACCCAGTGGTTTCGAGGTTAAGCGTTCACGCATGAGTTAGAAGGCCCCGGGTTCAATTCCCGCACTCGTGGGTCATGGGTGATTAATCCCATACTTGGAAGAACCCGCCATTTTCTGCTTTCAGGTATCTATTGGTGGTCTAACATTAATCGATTCATGATTTCAATGAAACTCAACAATCTCCACAACCCTATAAGAAAATATGGTATAACCTATCATCTTCTGATTTGACTTTTTCATTTAATTATGCATAAAATTATTAGCTATTTTATATTTAATTCAGTATAAGTTAAACTAAAGACGATAGATTTCTTAAAAATTTTACTATTTCATAAATACTTCTAAATTAGCTAGGATGGTGGATTGTTAGAGATCGCAGAATTTTTATAGTCTAAATCATGAATCGATTGTAACTAGATTACAATCAAAATATGAAAGTACTGGATAGCTGTTCTGTCCTACGGTCAGACTTTTAAGAAATGCTAGTCCATGACCTCAAATCCGGAATCCGATCCAGGAACTTCTGACTGACACGCACACGTTTAACGTCCAGAACATTGAGCCGGTATTCAACGGTGTTAATGTCTTACTTCAATCAGTAGATGATAAATTAGTTGGTACGCTTATGATTTATCAATGAAGATTTTTCAGATTATTAGTTAAATGGTAAAGTATCTGACCATGAAATTCTGTGAAATAGGTACATTTACAACCTAACAGCTGACCAAATACATACCACTGAAATTTCTCGACCAGCACTATCCTAGACAGTCTTAATTACTTACGTCTTTTACCCCTAATGGAGCATAGGCCACTGATGAGCATTCTTCAGCCAACTGTTATTCGCTCTGCCTTCCACTTCTTCCTGATTGCGATCCATTATTTTCATTTCTCTCTCAAATTTTCGGCGCAGTATGTTCCTTGATCTGCCACCTTTCCTTTTGCCTTGAGGATCCCATATCAAGGCTCGCCTCGTGACCTACATGGATGATCTCCTTAATATGTGTGCGATCCACCTCCATTATTTTTTTCTAATTTCTTCTTCAGCCAGAATCTGGCCTGTTCCCTCCTACAGTAGGTTCTTGCTGATGGTGTCTGGCTAACGGATGAGGAGTTTCTTGTGAAGACAACCGTTAATAAACACCTGTAATTTGTGGATGATGGCTTTCATAGTTTTCTAAGTTTCCGCTCCATACTATAGAACTATTTTGACGTTCGTATCGAAAATTGTGACCTTGGTGTTGCTTTATAGTTGCTTTGGGTTCCAGGTGTTCTTCAGTGGTAGAAATACTTTACTTGCTTTGTTAATCCATGTCTTCACATGTGTATCAAATCCACCTTTTTTATCGACTTGGACAGTCACTAAGCCGAAATTAAATAGTTTATAACTTGGAGTTTATCTGATTGGAGATCTTTATCACAATATCTTTGTCTCTTACCTTATTATAAACGTCGATAAATTTCATATTTCACGGTTTCTTACCTGAAATTCATGGAGTCTATCTAGATATATTTTATCAGCGAGCAGGTAATTGTTTTTGACACACCGTTGAAGGAAGTTTGCAGTTGTTGAATTTTGTGATTTACATCGTGAAACAATCTCATTTAAACCACTTAACAGCTATTTTTTCTACTATGGAGCTCATCAGGAGCACACATCCACGACCCAACTTGGGTTGAACGTAGGATCTTGAAATCTCTGGGTGAGAACTTTTAGACCACTCATCTGCCTTCCAATATAGTATTGAAAAAAACAGCTATCTAATGCTTTCTAGTTTTCAGTGGGTTTTTTTCTACATGAAGTTTTTATGCGAGTGATATCACTATTTAATCGGGTGATTTGTAGAGATATTTTCAATTCGAAGAAAAATTTTCATCAAAAAGTGGTGTTACCATAAGAGCTGAAAAGAATTCGAAAACTATTTTATTCACAATTTTGAAGTTCTCAGTAATGTACACATAATGAAATCCAGTATTGTTGTCTGATGGATGAAAGGTCATAAATGTTAACTGTCAGAATAAAATAACTGAATTATAATTGTACTATTTGTTTTGTGTACATTATAATCCAACTTAATATTATTCAGCGATCAAAGCCATCTTGTAAGTCGGAAAGAAATGCTATCACTTGACTATTGTAGATACTGGAAATTATTTGATTTAAATAGAAGTATGCCTTTTTAATTCTTTCTATGTTATGGTATACTTCTATCACTCTATATCAAATCTAACCGGAAAAAATTCATGTCTCCTGAGGAGTACAGAATAGTTGAGTCACTACTGCTTTACAATTGCATTGTTCACATGTTAACCGAAAGTTAAACATCAACCAACTCAATGATCTAAATTGTAATAGTTCTCAGCCCTACTTTGAATGAAGTAGTAAGTGTGAATTCTTGAAAAAAAATTCAAACTAAAATGAAATATCTGTCAACTGTCAATTTAATGTTGTCCACAAATTGTTAAGTTGACGTTAGTTTTCGAAAAAAATAATTTGTCTTCAAAATATCTGAAATTTTCCATAAAAATACAAAACTCTATCAGTTTTATTTCGAAAATCTTCTTTTCACAGTATGCTATGAGATATAAGTACATTCCATTTGAAAAAAAAATGATCATATTTTATCAGCGAATGATTGTTTGTTTTTTTTGTCGGCATTTATTTTGAACTACTAAATTAATCGTAGTAGAATTGATATTATCAAAGTTAGTAGTACAAATTACAATTAGTCAACCGAGTTGCTAGATCAATTAGCGCAAATTATTGATATTTTTTTATTGATAAATGAATAAAAGTTTCAGGTATAGTTTATTTGTGTTTTATGCTGATATTTGTTTAAACTTTGAAATAAAACAAATAAATAGGGGGCTTCTTACTTGAAATGACTCAGGTATAATTGGAGTTTAACTAATTATTTCATAGTTATTCAATGAGCACAAACTTTATCACAAAAAATAAACAACTTACTGTCAAATTTCACTGTAGTTTCTTGAGAAATGAGCCACTTCAGGCTATTTACATTCATCTTTAGTAATTATTACGATAGTAAATAATTATTCTTCCTTATTGTGATCAAGATTATCAGTGGTAAGGTTTATTTCAGATGGCTGAATGAAATGGACAAGCTAATTCTTATTATCGTTTTCATAAGTTTCCTATGGTATAAGTATTATATCCAGGCTTCAATTTTATATAGTTTATAAGTTGGATAAATTATACTTCCTCCTCCCAGCTACTTGTAATCCTGATAATTTTCAACAAGATTTTCAACTAATACATGTATGAACTGTAAACGATTATTCACATGGCAGACTGTAAAACCTTTTGATTGTCTGTTGTAGTTTGCAGCTCTGTTAACTGTATACTCCTCTTGATGGGTAAATACTATTATTACGAGACTGGATCTAATTGACAAGAAAGACTGACAGCTGACACATGATGATAATTCGGTAGTTAAGACTCAGTGTAGGCAAAAAGGGGGAGGAAACGAGAGTTTTCATGTCCTAAGAAGGACAATATGTATAGTTTTACAAGAGAAAGTAACAAACAGAAATGTGTTGATTACTACTTAGTAGTTCTACGTTATATAGGTCACAGAAGTATTGAGGCAAGAAAAGTCACAATACTGTTACCGTGGTAACCTCAAACCCTGCCTAATCTATATTTTGGCTAAGTTTCAGATAAAAGGGGTTGATTCACACAACACATGCAGTTATCTAATTCACGAGGTTCAGTTTCAAATTAACTGATTATAGTGAATGATAACAGAGATCTCATACCCACCCATAAACAAATTCTGTATTTTGGGGCAGAGTTTTGGAGGTTTGAATTTTTACACATTTGAAATCATCAGTCAATCATTGTTAGACCACCGTTAGAAACCTGGAAGCACTGGATGGCCGTGGTCGTGGATGCGCACTGGTGATGAGTCCCATACCAGGAAGAAACGGCCGTCCAGTGCTTCCAGGTTCCTAATGGTGGTCTAACAATGATTGATTGATGATTTCAAATGTGTAAAATTCTGTATTCATATCTAAATTTGGAGTGTTGACAAAATTCCATATTTCTTATCCCTTCAGTTTATTCATGCTTTTTGAATTATATTTTTGACTTCTAGCTTCCAACTACTAGATTATTATTATTATTATTTCTTTTCGGTAACTTTTGCTTTCCGTTTGATTACTTTCCTCTCATTCTAGTGATGTGAACTCTGATAAATTGAACCAATTTACCTCGGTATAGTGTCTTATGTTGTTCATGTTCGATTGACTAAGTGTCTTGTTATTGAGCCATCCAAATAATTCGGTTGTAAGCCCTCATTATAGTTGCGAACATTGCTAGAAAAGGCTATCATTATAGTTTCAAAATAAACTAGCATTATTTACTTACTAAAGAAAATAAATGCACCTTAACTTTACTCTATTCATTATGTGTATAATAAGAGAAAGATTATTCCACTATACTGATCTTCATTGAAATGCAATCAAACTAACTGAGTTTTGAGACTAGAATAAATCAGTGCAACTTCATCGATTTTAACAGTTTAATTCATTTATTGAAAAGCATAATCAAAGTGAATTTTTAAATGAAATCATCAAGTTGATTAAGTGAAATTCATTTTTTCTGATATTATCCGATAGACGGTGTGCATACTTCTGAAAAAGCTAACACTGATGACGTTAGATTATAAAAACTGAGTGGACATTCAAATTACCTATACTTCAAGTTCACTAACTATGATCTGTTAAATATAAAGACCAAAAGGTTCATTATTCCATCTTGTATGTAGTTGAAAATGTACAGTTTTGATAAGTCTCATAAGAAAATAAAAAATAACATTTATTGACTCTTAGATTGTTGGGGATGTTAAATCCCCAGAACTAGCTTGATAAATGCCTTATTTTGGATTTCACGTTTGCGAGCATGGGTTGATCAGTTGACCTTGAGATTTCATTTCCCACCTGGAAAATCCATGGCTGTGATTGGCTTCTGTGTATTTTAGTGTGTTATTTTTCTGACTGTCCCAAGGACGTTTCTATGATGAATAAATAAACGAGAGTTGTGTGCTTGATTGTATTGTGATTGCTGGGTGTTTATAGAATATACTTTCTACCGCTTATCAAGACTTCTCTTTTTCAGTTTTGGGATCAAGCTAGCCTATCTGGACGCTGGTTCATTGTCTCGTTCGTGTTTATCGACTAAAGTGAACGCGTAATAGTTTCAAGCGTACCTAGTGACGAAATTAACATAGACTAAACAAGGATTTCTTATAGGATATTTGATTGGTTACTGAAAATCAGTTTTTAACAAAAACTGTACAGTGATATCGAGTTAAATTAACTGACAATCATTTGGCAACTTTAATCAGCACCAAAGAATAAACAAAAAACATTGGTTAATGCTAAGTTCATGATTAATTAAAATATTTTTATTCAAGGTAACTACCTAAATCTAACTGAATAAATGATAAGATATTGAATCATGATAACAACACAAATTCCAACTTCAATAATGATGATATTATGTCAGTATTGTTATTTTGTGAAATTTTTCCTGAATAGATTTCATGTCATTGTTGTTTATTTAGTTATACTCGATACCCAAATAGAAAACTTACTCCAGCTGCTACTTCAATACGTCTTCGTCGTAATGAAAACAATTATTATACAATATCTGATCATCAGAGAACACCAAGTGCGCCAAATATAAGATATGATTTACCAGTGTGTTGTCAGGGTGATAAACAAGACTTTCGTAGACCTCGTCTATTAATACGTCGAAAAGATTCTATTCAACCTGCACCTTCTTATATATTATCTGAAGATAAATCATTGTATAAATCTACATTTACTGGACAAATTGGTCGTAAGTTATCATTTACTGTGTATGGAATACTTCAACAACTTATAATGATTGTTGATATAATTCATGAAAAATTACTTGTAAGATTAGTATTGTACTGTTGTAAACATAAAGTTTTTTTTTAGTCAGAACTGAATGGCTAAATGATTCAATAAATGTGAATTCACAGCCCCATTAAAACTTTCATAATCATATAAGAAAATTTTGTCTTCACTGAATTCAAAGTACTTATGTTTAGCTGTTTGAATTCAGAGAACATTTTTGCCATAGGAACTATAGAATTTGTAAGTAATCAAGCTCATTCAGTTATAATCCGATAAGATGATTTACTGAAATGTTACTTTCAAATATTATAAGAGGTGAGTCCATATAGTTTTAAGTTGAAAAAGGAAGACTGACAATCGAATTCAATGTTCAGTCAATAAGGCTTAATTGTAATACTATCTAATAATTCTAGGTAGTGACGTTCAGTAAGATGAAGTATGTATATATTTCGCAAATTTCAAGCTGATAATTTGTAATGTGATTGTTTTATTTAGGGAAAATTGAAGTAACAAGGAATTATTTTTTATTTAAGTGTTGAATGGACGCAAATTTCAACATCGACTGAACCCTTCAAATTAAATACTATGATTAGTATACTGTCTTGGTCTCTTATTGACTAATTACGTTAAACAAAGTTCCAAACAAGCAAATCACCGGAATAGTAATGCATTTTGCTAGTCTTCTCATATGATTGTATTTTTTGCAGACGTCGGCTCTAAGTTCTACACAGAATATTGATGAATCGGAGACTTTATTAAATTTTCAAAATGGTCTCTATCTTGATGGTGAACATCAAAAGTGAAATTGAATAAATTTACAGACTTATTTATATCAATTACTGTGAATTCAGATTATTCCCCTATATCAATAGGGTTTCTGAATCTAATCTAATAGGAAAATGTACATACCTGACACTTAATTTTCATTGAAATAGTCCACTGCGATTTATACAAATCAGTTAAACTTATCTTTTAATTTTTATTTATCTATTCAAATAGCACGTCCATCTAGAATTCAACCATGTGAACAAGGTATAAATGGTTTAGAGACAGCTCAGCAAAGAATTAAAAACCTTCTTAAAAATCAAGATTTAACTAATATAAATGAGGAGCTATACAAAAAAATGTATCCTTTACCAAATAATTCCACTTACAATATTGACTTTAAAGAACATATTTTTCAAGATACTCATTCAGAAAATACACTTCCAAATATTAATTTTAAAATGCAAGATAATTCAACTGATTATCGAGAAAATTATCATTCATGGATTAAACCTCCAAGGAATGAGGAAATTATGCAACGGATTGGATACAATTGGAAACCTACACCCGCTGTTTATCTTCCAGAAGACCCTAGTAAACATGAACCAATAGAATCTAGTTCTGTGTATCGATCGAATTTTATTGATTTTTCCAAAGAAAGGTTAACAACTAGTATGAAACCTAGTCAAAAAGCATGCTACTCTGCTATTAAGGCAGATAAATTATTGAATAGTTTTGATGGTAGACAAGAACGAATTCCAAAAACATTATATCGTGATTCGTTTACGGGGTTACATAATGTAGATAATTGGAGTGATAGACATATATTACAAAACCAATCGTCTATTACATCACGAACTGGTAGATTTCAACAAAATGATGATACATATTGGTTTGGTATAGATGTAGCACCATTTAGAGACACAAAAGAAACAATGTTTACAGAATCATGTTATATGGAGAATCCTTATGAAAAATCAAAAGCTTAGAAAAAAAAGTAAATATTATATACAAATGTGCACGTAAAATTACAGATTGGACATTTATAGTACGATTCTATGAAAACTAAATTATTATGGATTTAGTTTCTCATTGGTAAACTATTCAACTTTTATTTTACCTTATTTGATTACTTTTACTTGTAATATTTGATTCAAACACGCAATTTTAGTAATATACTGATTACTTTATATGCTCTTTGTTCATGCACTGATACACTCACAAACGCGCCAAAATGCTTTCCATTTTACTCACTAGATTTAATTAAAATTAATTTATTTATTTGACTGATTTTTTCCTACTGTGGTGGTAGCAGTTAATTTGACATGTAAGTAACCTGTTCACCGTGTATCTTAAAGAGTGATCTAACAGCACTTAAGTAATATTTATATATTTTGGCAAGTTAGAATCACCAGAAATCAATCAAACAAGGTAAAATATAAATGAGTCCAGCTTAAAACTACCCGGTATTTAACCTAATTTCTTGGTTAATGAAACTTACCTAATTATCCAGTGATTAATTAGTAACATATGAATTCTAGTACTGTGTCTTGTTAGACTATTTTGAAAGTGTTAGTTGACCTAAGAATCGTGAGCCTTGTTCAAACACTATTTCATATTCATAGAATACTACTCAAATTATCATTTCACTTAGGATAGTTTTGTTTGGAAGACTGATATTATAAGCGCATTTAGGTTGGTACTTACGATTTGTGAGCAGTAACTGTTAGATCTCAATGAGTACAATGAAAAAAAGCAAGCAGTATCTACAGCATAAAGTTAAAACCTTAATGGAGGTTTTGTATTCCAGGGACTACATTAATAGAAACTTTATAAAATATGTTTATGACTTATTCAATATATCAACAAAGAAATCGAACGAAGCATTGGCTATTTCCAACTTTTGGCTGAAAGTGTGATGAATAAATAGAAATGAAGTGGTGAAAGCTTAAAAAAGTCAATACAATTTTAAACTCTGTTTGAGCAACACCCAACCTAATTCTTCCAGTTGAGAAGTCTGGCTAGAGGTATTTTCATGAGAAATATTTGAGTGATTTTCAGCACCAGACAATCCCAAGTGAGTTGTATGAATCCAGAATCTCCATGTAAGAAAAAAAGCAAGTTCAGTAAAATTATGTGGTATAATCCCAGTCACATTATCATATTCAGCATGTTGTCGTGATGAAAAGTTACACTATAAGTGATTTGTGTCAGCAGTGACCAATGTGAATAAATAATTGATTGAATTTGGGAATTGATATGTGCAGCACTTTGGTTTATTTGAAAGAAACTACTTACAATGTTTTTAGTACATTGGATAACATATAACACAGATTCCGAATAAACGATGGGAAATATCATTTTTCTGAAGAAAAAGCCGTCAACAGCACTCAAAGGGGACACACATAACACGTATAACCAAAAACTCGTGGCTCGGAAAGCAAGAGGAACATCAGTATCCCCAGGATAGGTGGGCAAAACACCAGAATTACTGAAGATGCATAGTAACTCCGTGCAGCAACCAAATTATATCCCATAGAGTAGCTTACCCAAATACAGTGCTGGTTTGTTGAACGGACACAGCAGATAACAACTAGGTCATCATAATCTGCGCTGAAAGAGTCAAAGGTGAGCTTTTTGATGCATGAAAACCCGGTTAGTGCTAAACGAACTCTAAGCAAAAAATAATTCGGATAACTTGAATTCTACTGTGAGAATCGATAGGTCGTCATTTGGGATAATTATGGCTTCATACGGTGAAAGCTCAGTTTATTCGGAATTGACGACACCACTGTCTCTTTTGATAATCAGAGTAACAATTAACATCGGTGGATTAAATATCCGTACAATGCTGGATACGAGAAAGACAATTTACGTTGCTGCGGAGAAGAACAAGTCTGAAGGTGTTTGGAATTAGTGAAATTCATTGAAATTGAGTGGAACAGAAAAGACAGACTGCAGGAGACGCATTTCAGTATCCCGGCGACGAAGAGGAAAATCTTACTTTCACATGGAGTAGCACTAATGTTAACCAAAGAAGATTGAAAGGCATTTATATGATGTGAATCTCATGGACCCAGGACCATCGAAACATTTTTCAAAAAAGAGGACAATGGAGAGCTCAGATGCAGTTGGAACATTTTGACTTCTCAGATAGCCAAGTTCTTACCTCCTATACACCATGACGGGTGCATGTGAAGACAGTCTGTTTATAAACAGCCTCTACAGCATTAGGGTACCAACATATGCTAAAGAAAAAACAAAATCATAAAATCCGTCACAGTGAGCATCAATTAAACCACGTTATATCGCTGCACCGATGATGAATAAAGGGGATCTGATGCAGATATGAGGGCCCATACTGTCAATGCAAGGGAACCATTCCCAAAATTGAAGAGCATCTGGAACTAACAACAACTACTAATTAATACCTACTCCATATTTATTAATAAGCAGATAAACAGTTCAGTTTTACGAGGACGAAACTTGAAGAATCACAATTTCCAACGTCAAAAATGTACAGGTATTTGTAAACAGTTGTCCATGCAAGATTCTTCAGATCCGTTAGTCAGACATTATCAGCAATATCCTTATGTGGTAGAAAACAAACCAACTTTCAGCTAGGGAAAAAGCACTGGAAATAGACAGGTTGCAAACTGTGGGAATCTCCAAAACAAGGCAAGTTCTAGTTCGGAATGTTTAAGGTAAACAGAACAGAAGAAGACCAAAGTATTTACTGTTCCAGAAATAGGAGACACATATTAAAATAATAAGTTGGACTTTGGAATAACTGGAAAAGTAATTGATTAGAGAGTCGTTGTCAGCAGCCTATGTTCTGCGAGGGTATCTGGCATGAGTAACTAGTAACATATATACGCAAGAAATATATGCTTACTCTACGAGTCATGAAGTGTTGTCAGTGAATAGTCAAAAACTAGGAAGATCAGAAAAGAAAAGGCCACCTAGTCGGAAGGTCATATTTTTGTAGCTCTCCTGCCCGCTCAACTCTGGATGGTGTTGTTGACTGACAAGGACCTTTATGCGCTTAAAGTAAAAAGTATCATTTGCTGTTATGTAAATAATGCACGTTCATCAAATAAAATAGGTGATTTGCTTGAATAATGTCGTATAAATAACCTTTCTCTGATAGGAGTACTCAAATTACGGACAGGAAGCAGGGATTAAGTCAACCACATCGGTTTCTGAAGAGTAGAAAAAAGAAGTAGGAAGTGTAACTGCTTTTAAAGTACATTTCTACCATGAATTGATTCATATAAACACTTTGGAGTTTTTCAACCTTCACAAATCTGTATGGTGCTAAATGTGATCATCAAACATTATCGATATAAAACATGAGGTTCAGTGATTGACTAACGTCACACTCGGAGGCTTACAGAATTATGAGACGGGGTTAGAGCAGTATATGCAGGTTTTTTATGCTACAAGCTCGCCTTCAAAAGGGATAGTGAGAGGTCCGGTATCATCTATACTAGGAGGAAAATGAGCTATGACAAGGTTTAATATAAACGCACAGAGAAGAAAGAAATATACTCGATGGAGGGATTATTAACACTGTTCATTAGAATCGTTTCTTGCATGTGAAAGGAGTTTAAGCAACTTGGGCTTGAGGGAGGTTTAAATAAACTCAGGTTAGTTCTCGTTTTTATGGGGCTATGATGGAGTATTGAATATGAAAAGTCCATAAAATTGCGATGACGAACTTACGTACTTACGGACATTTGACGGACGATTAAGGACACTCCCTGAGTTCTGGAAAAGACGTATTTTGCCCATTCGAAAACAAATTATAAAGAGGTAGGTTACAATTACTTTGTGAGACAATCGTGGTTGATTGTATTTGCCACGCCGTTGACCTATTCATCTACAAAAATCAGATAAGGTTAAGAATAAGTCTAAATGTTCCATTAGATATGGAGGTTTATGGCCGGATAAGATGTCATAAGGCTGGCTGAAATGCATCGCTTTTCTACTGAAAGCACTGTTCGAATTTCGTACCTACCACGTTATATTAGTAGTGAATTTCGCTGGAATATTTTTGAAGAGGGATATGTTGCATTAGGACACAAATTACCTTACCAGCATCCTGCTTCTTGGTGCGTCAGCATTTTCATATTTTAGTCCTGTTCCTGATTTGTATTGCATATATGATTGACTGTTTTCGGTGAGTCACCAAGTTGTGACAAAATTCGCCTCACAGTCTTGAAACAATGTGCGGAAGTCCTCTGTTCACCGATATGTGACCTGTTGAGGCATTCACTGGAGTCACATCAACTCCCAGCTGAATGGAAACAAGCTTATCTCTCTCCAATCTTCAAAGGAGGAGATGGAAAGAACCCAGCCTGTTACAGACCAGTCGCATTACTACCAATACTATCAAGGGCAATGGAAGGGTTGGTGGACGAACAAATGAGGGAGTACATGGATAAGAATTAAATACTCCATGAAGCTCAACAGGGGTTTCGGAAATGCATGTCTTGAGCATCTAATGTTCTCATATCATGAGACAGTTGGACATCCTGTTTGGACAGTAAAATACCGGTGCACGTAATATTTCTCGACTTTGCAAAAGCCTTTGACACAATACCCCTCGCACGCCTAATCTCAAAGGTTGTGGATAAGGGTTTCACTGACCCACTCGTATCTTGGCTCAGAAACTACCTTGAGAAGAGAAAGTTTCGTGCTAAGGTAAATAGATCTACGCAGACGATGCGAAGACCTGGAGGTCCATTAGAAGCGAAGAGGATTCGACTGAGCTTCAAAAGGACCTAATATCTATTGAGCAACGAGCAGTGATAAACGGTTTAAAGCTCGACCAACCAAAGTGTCATTTATGTATATTCTGCCCCACATGACACACACGATTTAAACCTTCAATGAAAGTCCGCTTCCTAATGTCTCCTCAGAGCATTATCTCACTTTATTAACCACAGAAAGCCTCTACACGAGTCCGAAATATATAGGGGACGCGGCCAAAGTAAATGCGACCCTTCACTCTATGCAAAGACACCTTGGTGCTATCACCCCAGATTTATTCTTGACATTATTTAAGACATACGCGCGCCCACACCTGGAGGTTCACAACGTTATCGCACCCCCTGCTTAAATGAGACATAAATCTCTTGGATCAAGTGCAGAGACG